CATATATTTTTATAAAGTGTGGCTTTTTCATTTTTGTTATTTTACATTTCTTTGTTTTTAGGAAATAGTATCCAACGAGTGGTTTGGTGCAGCACAACTCATTACAATCTATTTTGTACAAAGACCATCCTAGCAATACACGATTTAATAATAAATGAAGTTATTTTGTTGATTGCAAATGTGAAACCAGAGCTGAATATACTGTTTTAAAAACAATATGCTTCCACAATATTTAGATCGCAGTTGATGATCCAGGTATTGTAAGTTATCGATTTTAAAACCAAATGGTGATCATTATAAAGGTAGCCATATAGTAAAAGCTTCAGAACCTATGACTAAGCTAAAACTCGAAAAAAAAAAAAAAAAAATCACACTGAAATTACTTTAACCTCAGAATTTCACTCACCACCAGTTAAAATGCAATGTACAGTATTAGATTTGTTTAGGTCTTATTATAATTTGTCTTAGTTACCTGTAATCTTCGTCACACTGTACATAATAAATTTTCTCATACTTAATATATGTATGGCTAAATCTCATGAAACTATTCACCAGATATGGATAGCGCCATGTATACAAGAAATAAAATCGTTACTTTTTTGAGGGAGGAAATTGGGTAAGGTTATATATATGAACTTTAAAAAGGAAAAGAAAAAAAGTACACTTGGTGGGGGTGTATCTATATCAGCAGCTACCAACTCATATTGAATTAATGTGCTATATGAAGTAGAGTCCAGATTAAGTATAACATATTAATACAGTACACAGCAGGTAACAGTATTTGATAATACTGTACTGTGTACTACATGTCCCTCAAATACAATGTTCTAATTATTTAAAATTTAAAGTATCTCTTTACATGTAGTGAGTCCTTTCCTTTCACTACCTTCTTTAGTCCTCTCCCTCCTTACTTCTCTGTAGATCACATCTTTCTCAGCACTGCTACAGGGTTCTATACATACTGTACATACATATTTAAATTTGTTTGAAAAAGAACGAGCAGAACAAAATCATGATGTTTTTTTAAGATATTTTAAAATCCTAATGAAATCTTTATATAGAGTATTACGATATTCAACCATAAGGAAATAAGAATCAGAGATACTGGTACAATGTATATGAACACTATATTACAGTACAAAGATGATACAACATTATTTCCAAGGTACACAGCTAAAATGACTCAAGTGTAATACCATTTATGCACTAATGATGACAATTCAAAAGATCTAGTCAAGGCAACCTTCATGTAAAATTTATATATGATTTTATGGTGAGTAAAAATGCTGAACTTTTAGTATACACAAATGGTGACAATAATAATGGACAGAATCAAGTAACAGCCTTAAAAATGACAAACTGTCATCAAACAAATATCCGAAAGTACATCCATTATGCAAAAGCGTGCACTGGTAATAGTACCATAATTGAAATGGCTTGGACCACTTAGGCTGGAAGGTTATGACTCATAACTGTGCATGCACTTAAAACTGACAGCACTATGACAGGAATCTGTGACGTTATCTATAAAGTTGCTGACAGATTAGGTTGAGACATATGCATGGTAATAACTTGCGATCTGAGCTACTTCAGTTATGGTGCTGCTGTGAGCAATAGTAATACAGTATATCCAGAATAAAATAAGTTTAACATTTGGTACCCAGAACACTCATTTGTCTATCACAGTTGCTGTGTCTACTTCACTCAAAATTAACAGATGAGCATATTCTATTTTATTATTAATTGTTAAAAGAAGCTTAAATTTGAACAGCAGAAATGCTGGGTACACTTGTGTAAAAGTGAAAGTGGGTCCCATTGGCCATTAAATGAAAGTGCGGATACAACACACAGAATATTAAGCCTTCGGTAGACAAGGAGGCAGTGTGGCCGGCAGTGCACTCGACTGCCTTCATTTATCTAACTACAGTACTGTATAAAGTTAGGCGCCCACTCATAGCTGGGTGTACTAGCAACCCTTAGGAAAAAGAGCCGAGTACTGTGTCCATACAGCTGCAGCATTCCACACTTCATTTATTATCCACAAACACAATTACTGTACCGTATAAGGCAAAATAACCTACTGATAAACAAAAAAACTACTTGTAATATATAATATGGAATTTATTACTTATACAATGATGACATAGGTTTAAAACTTTTAAATTTTGCCTTATACAGGTATGTGCAACACCTGTCTGTCTGTGATTGTCTATTTATCAAAAATTTCTCATATGCTGCTTGAGCCCAAGTGACAAGGTCTCAGTACCTTTGATCTTGGACAGTCAAGTAAACATACTGTACTGTACATTGCATTGATTTGTGCACCATACTGCAAATTCATGAAAATCAAACATTAAAACCAGAGAGTACAGTACAGTATTTTAACTCATACTGGCAATGCTTACTTTTTCCAGCATTTTTATGCTATCATAAAACTTTATATAAAGTAAGCTTTTGGAAAAGGGAGAAATTTTAACTATGGTAACTTCTACAGAATATATAATAATGATAAAGAGAACAGCCATATTGTAAAACATCACTATTCTTTTCGGAATACAACACTGTTTGTAAATATATATAATCTCCCACTAACAGGCCATTTTCCCAAATTTACATCAGAGTAGTCCATACGCAAATTGTCAACTAGACCTCAGTACAGACAAGCTGCAATCCTATTGGGACTCAAGTCATATAAAGATCCAATCCTAATTGCTGGGCCTGTTAGGACTCTGGTCAGATTTAACGTTTGACTGACCAAATATTCCCTTTTCAACCATGTTAATTGATGCATGTTCCCCAGCATTCATTACAAAGAAAAGCTTATATTTAGCTATATAAAAATTTGAAAAGTTGGTTCCACTTGAAGTAAACATTAGCAGGTTCTTTAATTTGTTTCAGTACCCTGTATAAACTGACAGGCCACTAGGGACACATCCCTCATCTCCAAATATTTAGAGATAGAAATTTTCTGCAGTCACTGTGGCTTTATGAGAAAAACTTTCAGAAAAAAAAGTTCCCATGCTTATTCATCATTGTGAAAATGGCGAGTTCCTCAAATAGGCATGATAACAGTACAAACTTTTAAGCAGCATTATTTACTGTATGTTGAAACCTCACCTTGATTAAATTGCAACTGAATTTTTTTTTTTAGCCTATGGTTATTATCTAATAAGCAAACAAATTTCAATTATTGTCCATTAGAGCATTTATCTTGATGAAAATCTGCATTATACATATACTGTATTAGTAGATACAGCAAATGAATCGCCTGAAAAACCTTCCCCTCCTCATTGCATATAAGAAATTTGTAATTTAGCTTATCATGATGCTCAGTTACAGTGTGTGTGTGAACGCTACTCTGTAGTGAAGTGCATGTGTACCTGATACGGTACCTGTTTTGAGCCGAGTCACAACTAGTCATTCTGATAAACTAAATTACTCCCAAAATTCTTCTCACTGCATGTATAGTCACATGAGTGGCTCTTAACCTAGTTTTCAGGGCACAGGAAAATATCATTTTTACAGGTGTCATGCCATAATCTCACCTTGGCTTACTGTGACTATCCATAAATTTCCCAACCATATAAAACAATGACCAATGGAAATGGTACATCCCCCAACTGTTGAAAGTTAACATGACAAACTATTTGAGTTGGCAACATCCAACATTCCCAAGCAAGACCCTGCAATTCTCCACCTTCACATCAAAATTTAAATCAATCCTCTAGCCCTAAGTAAAACTATTAAGCAGAAACCAAATTTGACTGACAGCATCACAGCTAGGTCCTACTCAAGAACTTTGGTTAGAAGGAAAAAACAAAAAAACTTCAGCAGTTAAAGGAATGCATGAAGAAAAATCTTCCTTTTGGCAACAGAATTTTTACCTATGGTTGGGCTACTATGATGACCGAGGCCAGCCAGTCTGGTACAGTATACTGGTACTGTATATATACAGTGATATCCCCTTCAACCGGAACAATTGGTGCAGAGCACTTCCGGGAACGAGAGATTTCCGTTTAACGAGACGACTCTCTCAAAGACGGGAAAAAATCCCTCATCCCCGGAATTTTCCGGGTCACGAAAAAATTGTCTCGGAATTTCCAGAAAATGCCCCCGATTTTCAGCTCTCAAACCCGGAAAAAATTCCCCCATCCCCGTAATTTTCCGGAAAGCCGGAATTTTCCGGCTTTGGGAACGCTCTTCCGAGAAAATTTAAATTCCGGCTATCGGAGAGTTCCGGGTTTGAGGGATACTTGCTAACGGAGATATTACCGAAATATTTATTACACAAAATACTTGCAATATGACTAAACTCTCAACAGGAGTTTGGCAAATTATTCTATTGTAATCATATGAAGACAGCTTACAGTAGCAAAAGAGAACTAGAATCAAAAGTATTGTCTGTCAAGAACTATAATACTGTACTTAACAATGATGTTAGTGACTATTCATTAAAAATTTTGTTAATTAATATCATCATATAAAATAGGTGCATAGGTGTTAAAGACGAGAGATTATATTCTGAAAGGCCGCATTTCACTGATAGCAACAATACTGTACAATTGATCTTATTAGTGGAACTTGGAATTTTACCTATTACCCCTTTGAATAGGTTTTTCTTTTTTGCAATTTCCAATACAGTATTCAACGAATGTTCAATGACTTACCACAACCATTTATTACAAGCAGGTTCTCCAGAAGTACGTTTACCACTAGTACAGTATACATCTACTATCACTGACGCCTGACTCACACTCAACATCCTCCCTATAACCAAGAATCTTCCAGTGGCTTAGTTAATTACTGGAGATCTTGATCATCAATTCAGACAAAATAAATTTCTCAAGAGAACAACAGCAAAGAGTGTAGTGTCATAAAAATATAAAATAAAGCATTATATATGTAAAGGAATATTTATAAAGAATCTATAGAACTCATCCATGAATGCATTCCCAAAATTGAAAAATCATCAAAGGTTTGTAGGAAAAAAAAAAGATAAGTACATGTAATAAGTTTTAAATTTTAAGTTAAAAACCCTTCTGCTCTGAAATACAGTAATGTACTATTAGTAATGTGTAACAATTACCGCCAAACAAAATTACCACAAACATAAGGTTATATATCCAAAAAATAAAGGTTTACCCGTAAAATTTAACTTGTAAAACAACCAAGTCCTGAACAATACAATTTAAACAAGTACAAGTATAGTCTAGTTTCTGAGAGCTTTGGGCTATTGTTTAATGTTATGGTGAGCTTAAAAGAAAGTCTACTAAAAGTTGTTTTGAATATAACAACTTTACAGTATATACAAAATAAAATGAGCTCCATTAAACCTTTGCCATAATCAATATCTGGTTTAAATTCCAAATAATTTTACAGAAAATTGAATAAATTCTACATGTAGTACACATCAAAAAAATCTTTAAAACTTTTGTTTCAGCAAGTAAGAAATAACTTAAGTCTATAATATACTTTCATCATCATCATATCTTGGGATCACCAAGAAGGGCCCGAGCAGTAATGCTTAAGTTTCCCTCTACTACACTTAAATACTGTACAATATTCTGAAACTAAATTTTACAAGTTCATTGTAAACTGAAGTTTTGTTGGTGGCAACAAATGATACATGTAGTTACACCAGTTTTTAACAGGTATAAAATATTTTATCATGTCTGTTTATCAAATAATATGAGCGTCTGATTGCACAAGCCAATTTTAATGTGCCACCACAACAACACAACTCATCAAATGCTGCCATATGTTTTCTATGGTGATCCCTGCATATGTGAAAAATAAAAAAATAAAAATATTTCTTGAACATCAATAGTTGATTACTGATTTAAGATACATCTGCAAAATATGCATAAAAGTTTAAAAAAATAACTTGAATCATTTTGACATTTACACTATATGATAAATTATCTGATTATGTAAGGAGAAATTTCCTCTGAGGTACATACATTGTGAACACCCATATAAGCTCTTGCTCAGGATAATACTTAATTCTCCATTGGAAAGGTTGAGAAGATATTTATTCAAGAGAATTATAAGCATTACACGTGTTCAAATTTCCAAAAACTGCCTGAAACATGGAAAGAAAGCCTACTGACCCATTCCCCACAGTCACTACTTAAATGACAATAAATATAGCATAATGTGACCGAAATAAGATTCACAATAAGCCATAAATTTCTTTCTACCAACACCTCCCTGGCTAACACAGTAAAGAAGTGAACATAACAGAACTAAATCTAAACCCAACCATACAGTAAGGCTCTGGTAGAGCTTAACCTTGATCATTTCCTGCCAGTCAACAGTGATAAATTACAGTAGGTAGTAAATAACACCTTATTACAATCAAACACTGTCTTCATTCATAACTATTGTTTCCATTATTGTCTCAGTTATCAAAGTTCCTGCAGTTCTGTGATAAACAAAAAATCTATATAACAACAGTTTTCCACCATAAAAAAATCCTAGGTACCCCACTAAAAGTATTGGAATAACAAGTAACAGAGGGAAATAGTACCCAAATTACATTCATATCATGGGATGCTTGGTCACTTTTGTCTACTCTTGCCAGCCTCATGTCCCTATGGAGCAGTGTGGCCAGAATCAAGAGCAACATATATTCTCCAGACTTTAAATCTCTCCTTTTGGGGGATGGGGGGAGAGGGTGAGGAGGTATACAAAAAATGCATGTTTACCATCCTAATGCCTCTAGGTCCCGTCCCAGCGTTCCTCCACCACCTTAAGTACCTTTACTAAAAAAATTACCCAAATTAATGGTAAGAAAATTAAATGCTGGCAAAATTACATGTACACATCTGGAAAAATATATAAGAAACCAAGATATTATGCTCTTTAGTACCAAAAACCTCGGTTTCATTATTCACAACAAAAGATTCCTGAGACCATGACATCCATTCAGGATGACAGGTGCTGGTGTTGGACATAATTTCGCAAGGGGCCATCCAAGGAACATCACTACACAATTTCATCCCCCCACCCCCCCAAAAAAAAGCATTTGGTTTCAATCAAGATACTATTTAATTGTTTTCTACTTTTAAGTAACCAAAAAGGACATTCTGACAATGGTGAATAAACAGCTTAAACATTTACAGTACACTGTTTGAGATCAAACTTACAAAAGATCTGACAAGATGTTAAAACACAAACAACTATGCAAAAAATAAAAGTTGATATTCTGATAAACTTCCCATGTTTCTTCACTCACACACAGAGGACAAATTATAGCAGGGAAATGACTGTTAAGATCTAACTTTAAATTTCTATTAACCCTTTAAGAAGTAGTGTCACATTTAGGTATTTTATTTTGGCTAATGCAAGATGATTTTATTCAGCTGAGAGAAACCCCTACAACTCAGAGGGTTAGGTATTAAACCCTATTTCAAGTGTGTATTCTCGAGCAAGAGCTTATCATGGCACCATTGCGGAATATGATCAATTCAATACTACAGTCTGAACTGATGATTCGTTAGAAACATACACCTTAATCCTCTCTAAATAACTAAAATCGACATATTGGAAAAGCAAACGCCAATAAGATACAGAAGCTTACATCAATATGAAATAGAAAAGATATATACAAATTACTAAAATCAATTAGCTAGCACATCTACAGACATAATACATGAAGGGACTTGTTGCTAACTGCCAGTGAGTTGTGTTAAAATGATATGAAATTCTGTAATGATGAAAATATTGCACTCTTATATAAAACTGCTTCAGTAAAGGGCTATGATGCGAGGCAGAGGCACGGCAGGTCATACTTCATGTTGTCTTCCTATGGACTTACAAATTAAATACATGAAAATTCAACCTGATTATAATTCATCTTTTCAGGACGACAATACAAGACATTTACACCATCATTTAGACAAAGAGACACACACTTGAACATCTTCAGTTTAAGATATCAACTGAAAACCTAAACTGCATCCATCCATAAGGACTTGGAAGGTTTCTTAAAAGATAAGAATCCTCTGCTCGATATTACTGCAGATGAGTATTCGAGGCGGCGGTCGAAGAATTTCCGCAATTCAGAAACAATGAGGACCGTAGACGTGAGACACGTTAGGTATAGCCAATCTATTAAGTAAATACTTTCTGTCTGGAATACCCACTGGAGGAAGGGCAGGTACACAACACCCATCAAACATACAAAAGTTGCAGTGAGAGCAACAAATAGATACCAATTGGAAGTAATGCCAATCTCCAACACTGATTTACTATCAGAACGGCAAGACATGGCATTAAACATATCATACATCACGAAACAGGCAAAAGTCATGGTTGTGTCTCTTGCGGTCACAACACCATCCATCATTTCAGATCTGTGGAAGAATAAATATTTAATGTTTCATTTATACTTATAAACAATTGAAGATTACATAGAAAATAAATGGTACATTAACAAATGTACTCAATAAAGTATCTGCCAGGATAGGTCCAATGACAATGACTCCCAAAATGCTACCTACAACTTGTGATGTCCCAAAAGGGTTGGTATACATGGCTCTGTGGCATACTAAACCAACTACATTTGGTAACCAAACGTCATATTAATTACGTCAAAATAAATACATTTTGCATAAATTATGTTAAACTATAGATCAAAGTAAATGAATGTCCCAATATCTATCATCCGTGGGGTCATAATGTTTCATACAGACTGTGGACAGATACTCCTTTGAGATAGCTACTGTACATGTATATCCAGACAGGAAAAGGTGGTGAGCTGACATTAATGTGTGGGTGCAAAGCATCATAGATGCAAGACAAGACAAAAGGTAAACTGGAAGCAGTGGATAAAATGTTCTTGAGAGCAATATGTAGGATCAACATAATAAAAAGAATAAAATTAATGCTATATGAAGGTACAAGGTAATGTAAAAATAAAAGGAGAGCATCAGACAGTATGTTGACCTATATATGCTAAAGTGGTATTGCCAAATTGAAAAATGGAAGGGGAAGATTAAAGAGGTGAAGGTGATACGTATAAGAAAGATGGCTATCTGGGACTGAAGTGTGTGTGTGTGTGTGTGTGTGTGTTCACGACCAGAAGGTGTAGTATTAAATGGTTTATGGGGATGATGCAGTTGATAGGAAAACTGGATTGTATAAACTGACAGGGAAAAATCAGATGGCTAATCTTAGGGTCTTATTGTGGAAGGGATTCATCAAAGCAGAGGGTATCAGTTACTGCAATCAGAAACTCTAAATGAATTGATAGTCTTTAGAGCTCTTGATTCACAAAATAAATTACTGGAAATGGACAAGGCTGCAGAAATTAGATTGGAAGAATTTGGTAACTGTGAGTGGATAAAGTTCCTAAACCTTATGTATAACCAGGATGTGCATTATTCTACCTGAAGACCCACAGCGTCCCACAAATGATGACTGAGGCTGATATGATACAGTTTCTGATGAGTTTCTTTGTTATGAGATCTTTCTTGGTATCTCTTGGTGGCTGAACTTTGACATCATCATCAATGGGTTCCATACCAAGAGTGAGTGCTGGAGGACCATCCATTATTACATTAATCAGTAGGATCTGGAAGAAAAGAAGAAAAAAAATACTGTAATATGAATAAAGTGCATGTTATTAGTCTAGTTACCCTACATTAACAGCACTTAGATGGCTGTACTACAGGTTATGCTCTCGACCATTTGTCAGGTGGATGAATGAGAATAAATAGAAACCTGATAAAAGTGGGAAATTAAAGGAGAATGATGCAAGACAAGCTTAGGAATTGACAGTTAAGCATTAAGTACAAATCTCCACACACACAATTCTTACCTGCATCGGGTTGAGGGGGCTAGGCAGACCTAATAGTGTGGACAAAGCGATGAGGCTGAGGGCAACTAGGCTGGTGCTGACTTGAAATTGCACAAAGTTTGTAATGTTGTGAAAGATACATTTGCCCTCCTCTATTGCTGACCTGTAAAAGAAAATCATATACAGTACATATTATGATAAATTTCACTGAGAAAAAAGAAAGGACAGCAAATTATGAAGTACAAGTCTTTTATTGTCAATTAAGGAGTGACTTGTGCAGTAAGCTGTGCAGCTCATGACTCACCACTCTCCAAGACATGTATGGCCACTGTGGCTTTTATGATCTTTATTTTCAACTTATAATTACTGTACTGAGGTGGACCAGACTAATCTTCAAACTAGACCCAAGCTGGTTTTGTTTAAAAATTCCATAGACCAAACTTGAAGACATTGGTGATCTCATATACACAATGCATTCCAAACATGTGTTAAGTCATAAATGACATTTATTAAAAGAAAAAAAGCTGCCTAAACAATCATAAACAGGAAAAGACAGATATTGTATACAACATAACTACAAAATGCATAAACATGGTGAAACAAGTTTTATGTAAAGATGACATAATTACTCAGTGGTGGCTTCTTATGAAGCCAAGATTCATAACTACCAAAAATAATTAAAAGAAAGGCATGGTGCACATGCATGGAAAGTAAAAACAAAAAACTATTGCAAATTAAGTTTTCCAAAACCTTTGGAATTTCTTATTCTCTTTAGAAAGGTTACACACTTGATCCTCCAAGCAACAATTAGTTGCTCATCTTATTTCATACTTACAATATAGTGGTAAAGTCATCATCATTAAGGATCATATCAGCAGCTTCTTTACTGACTGCTGTTCCCATCTTGCCCATGGATATGCCAATGTTGGCACGTTTTAGGGCAACGACATCATTAACGCCGTCACCCGTCATTCCCACAATTTCACTACACTCTTGGAGAGCCTGGATAAATAATTATGTTAGAGCCAAAAAATGAGGAAGGGATTTTCAGCTTAAAAGTAATGAGTAATATTTCCATACTGCGTTCTTCTAAAGGTTTAGTGTCATAAAATTATACTATCCAAATAAAACAATCAACAATGTGTCTATGAATTAAATGTCACCCTGGACTTGTACCTTTTAACATCTATAACTATCTTATGTCATCAAAATTTTTAAATATTGAATATACAGAGTAACAAGGGTGGCCTTAAGTTATGTCTGTGTGCTGTAGGCAGGTTGGTCAGCAAAGCTCAGGCAAAAGTTCACACAGAGACTAAAGTCAATTAGTCACACGGCCCTGGTATTCATGGGGCTAATTGAGGTGTCGTAAATAAAACTTACCTTGACAATACGAACTTTATGTCTGGGTGACACTCTGTAAAACACAGTTGCATCTTGTACCAATCCTAACAGCATTCTTTCATCCATACTGTCCAACTGGTCCCCTGAAAAAACTGTGCCAGGACGCACCTGTGAGGCACAGTGGAAAAATATATCAAGTTAAGGTTCACCATTTCAAGGTTTTAAAGCACTATAGGAAGGTTATCAATGAGCTATTATTTTTATTAAATTATGTATCATAAGACTACTTCAAATTTAAAGAGATCAAACTATGAAGCAAGTTAAGAGGTGAGAATGCAACAGGCAATCATCAGCTCAATTAAAAATAAAAATACCAAAGTGCTGGAACAGAAGCTTTTAGCCCTCATATCTCTGTTTTTTTTATATTAATCTGGAACTTATTTCAATAAAAAATACTCATTGCTTTTCTCTCCTGGGGACTATAAACACACAATTTCATAAAGCTTACCCGCAGACCAACAGCTTGAGCTATAGCACAAGCTGTCTCTTGAGCATCACCAGTGACCATCTTGACATTAACCCCTGTGGACTGTAATGTAGTAACAGATGAGCGAGCTCCTTCTCTTGGAGGGTCCATGATCCCTAACATACCCATGTAGCTTAACTCTGATGAAGATGCACCACGAGCTATCCCAATGACTGAGGAAAAAGTCAAAGGTCACATTTGATGACGGTAAAGTAGAGATTAATAATGTATCATACACAGTATATTAAATGGAGATATTCTGTACCACTCCATAAATATGTGGTACTCAAATCAGTAACAGATAATATAAAGAATCCCAAATCTGAAGTACTGTATCAAACTGAGTAGTCATGGATGTTGCGCATGACAAACACATACTGTAAAGGCCTAACCATGAAGTTTATTTTTCCGTGTAAACCAACACCAACATAACTCACCGCGGAGACCCAGCCTCCCACGTTCAAGGCTTGAGGACAAAATTTGATGTTGCTTTTCCTGGGAAAGTGGGAGTATGGCCATATTCTGATGGTAGTGACTACACATCCTTAATACTGCTTCAACTGAACCCTTCACTAGCCACTCCACCTCCCCAGTCTGAAAAATTTATATTGGCTTAGTAAAGAAATTATTAAACTGCATCAATGTTATTGTTATTATTTTTTTGAAGAGAGTTCAGCAACTGAGGCCAACCAAGTTTGAACTAAAATTTACTGTTAATAACAACAAAAAATATTCAATGTACAGTACAGTACTGTACTACCTTTACATGTACTGTATACTGTACTGCTGTATATCAAAACTGAAAAAATTAATCTTTTATATAGAAATAAAAATTTGAGAAAAAAGTCACTTGGAAATTATTAAAAAACAATAAAGAAATAAACTACACCTTAACAAAATAGCACAGCAAATATGAAAATAACACTAAATTATTATAATTATGTTGTAAATCATTTATACGTAACAAACTATCCTCGTACGGTAAACGTCCACAAAACTTTTAAGATAACTACCAGAAACCCTACGCCCTAATTAACAAATATCCTGCAGTACATCACACACTTGATCTCATATGTAGATTCTAATAGAGAAACTTGTACAGTATTTACCATATTTGCCGGTGTATAAGACGCACCCCTATTTTACAAGGATATTTTGTGGAAAATTTTTTTTAGTACGTTTCATCATACATTTATTGAAAGTGATTTTAAAGTGGTTTTGCAGTTGAAAAAATATGATTTTGTGCATGTAAATGCAATATATACTTGAATCAAGTAGGAAATCATATACAGTATAATAACATTATACTAACCCAACTCTACCTCTGATCAGAGCAGCTGTGTGGCTTGTTTACATTTTGGTCAAGAGAATTACCGACAGGATGTGAAACCCGTATTTTTGGCTGTGATCTTTTGTGTTGCCGCGATCTGCCACCGGGGAGTAGCACCATCGCTATTGTTTTGGCGTCATCAACTCACTGCAAATGGATGACTGGCGGCTGAACTTTCTGTTAACATTTCTTTAATCTTTCTAGGGGCATTTTTATTTCGACAATAAACAAATGTTTCTTAAAGGTAATACAGTCGTTAAATAATAGAAGACGTGTATCTGGTGTGGGTTACGCATGCTGGGGAAGGAGGTACAGTGAGATGCAAGCCATTATTTACGTATTTGGCAAATTTTACGCAAGTTTGTGATAATAGATCGTGATAATTTGGCTTATTTTTCAGTATTTTATTTTTAGTAACACAATTTTTGTGCTTAGTGGACTACTGCTCGTCCCAGACTACCTAGCTAGGCACCTCCGCCAACGGCTCTCAGCCTCCCATCAGTAATACGAGCACATTAGAAGCAGGGTAATTTGCGATACATTTTTTATAAAAAATAAATAAAACGCATCTTATACGCCGGCAAATACGGTAGTTGTTGTGTACTTCATTTGGTGATGACACATATTCTGGTGAAGTTTTATTAGAACATATCTATCTATGTCAATCACACAGTTCTTAAACATCCCACAAGTTAGTGTATGATGTTCTGGTTAAATTGTAAGTAAAAATCCTTTATATAAGTGAACATAAATCAGGTAATTAATACTAACCTTTTTATTTCTTACTTTCAGGGACATTGTTTTTGTTTCTGACTTGAAGGGAAATTCCTCTAGTCTCTGATACTTATCTCTTGCATTAAATATTCCGTGCTGTAAAATAAAAATAAAACGTAAATTTACCTAATAACTTAAACTGTGAAAGGTCATTCACTTTACAACATAATCATTATACAGTATCAATAATTCAATTCATTCGATTACTGTGGTTCCTTCCCTGAGCAACAGAAATGACTAGTTCTAATAATTAGTTTGGTTAAATACACACCCAATAATCCTAAGAAAAATCTACCATTACATATATTTACACAAAACCCAACCAAACGTATAACTGCTGGTAATCACATGTCTCTTCCAACCCTTCTTCACCTTTTGACCTTTCATGACCTACATCAACACCCAACCCTGTGACTCTGAACTGATATAACCCTATTGAAGAAAGAACTAGACTACCACTAATGATGAGCAAACAGGTTTCACTAATGTATGTGTAACAATTAGTAAATAAGGGAAGTTGTGGCAGACAGTTCTCAAATGTTGCCAATGTAATATATTAGGCTGGAAACAGTTGCATGTCCAGGCTGTTGCCATATGTTTGTAATGGTGATGTATACGAGATAAAGTATATTTTCTCTTTCAAGATAAACTGACAGCAAACTGTTCACTTAATTCCACGAGTCTGAAAAGGTTCACCGAGAGAGATGGATGAATTAATGTTCATGCTGTATGGTAGAAAAATGTATTGAAACAGTTAATTGAAGGGGAGATTTCATGAAGTATAATATAATGAAGTAACAAAATGTGTAACTCACTTTGAGAGCAGCAGCAAGAATAGCCCCCTCTGTGGGTTGTCCCAGTAACTGACCTCCTACGATCTGAGCATTATTACAAACAGCACCTGCACAGAACAAATAAATTACCATGACACTACAAGATTCCACAATTATTTCATTATTAGGGCAATTTTTTTTTTTAAACATGTTTGCTACAACCAGGATTAGGAGGGTCATTCTGGACAGAAGGACCAAAGAGAATATGATGAAGTTAGAGATGTTTGGGGCCATGGCTTATGTACAGTATTGTAAATCATTAAACAAATGAAACATACTACAGTGACTCTCATCAAGTGAATATTGAACTGATAAGTTTAGAAGTGAGCTAAGGTTGAGTTAATCAATGTGTTATAATCAGGTGCAGTACAAAAACAGATTGTTCTAGAAACACTTTGAAACAGCCCTGATATCAGGCAATTAAGGCTTATTGGTTGGCAGGCAACTGAAATTGAAAACCAACATGCAGAAAGCAAAGGCTATACAAGGTCAATTTACCAATACCGAGTGAAAACTTAAGTCCCATTTAAGTATAGATCTATACAAGTAAAATATTTTAGACAAAATATCAACATCTCCAAAAATTCCAAACCTAGAGAGATACAAACACAGCAATTTTGTTTTTATTGATAACATTGTGTCTTTTGTCTCTATTTCCTGTGTGGCAGACCTCTAGTTCATGATCCAGAAACAATCACAGATTCTAACTTATCCTGATAAATATTATGGACTAAACTCAAACTATATACAACTCTACACAAAACAAAACTCCTCTGCTAATTAAATATACCTAGAAATAGTTACCTGTTTCTAATAGTTTTGTAACTGCTTCATTAGCCAGTTCTGAGTATCCACTTTCAAAGACAACTTCACCATCAGTAGAATAACCAACACCAGTCACGTGACACTCGTCCCCCTCTGATGTTACAATGGAGGTCACTGTCATTTCATTCTGTAAATACAATGAGAAAAAAAATAAGGACAAGTCAATTCAGTTATTTATGTACAGCTCCTTGATTCTGGCCTCTACCTCATTCACTAACACTGAAACCCATCATTATTTGCTCGTTATATAATATACAGTACAGTATAACTTTCACAACAAGGCCAGAAGGGCAGATAGAAACTAATGGGTTTCTATGTTCCCTGCACCCCCCCCCCCAGTAAAATGTAGGACAAAATAAAAGCAGTTGTGACAATTTTATTAATATTAGCTCCTAGTTTAAATAAAATTCACTAGTTCAACATTATCAACCTATTATCTGATTTTCATACACATATACAGAATATATATTGTTGAACATCACTTTATTTACAGTATTTACATTATTTGTTACATATGGGATATTAAAACTGTTTTGTGTGTTCAACCTTGTGTTTTAACCTAACCTATGGCATTAACACTGACTTCCCGAACAGGGCCGAGGAACGTAACTGGTTCGTAAATCAGGGACTCCCTCTATTTCTACTACTGACCTTAGTTAAAGTTCCAGTTTTATCTGAGCACACAGTTGTGACACACCCAAGAGTTTCAACTGTGTGTAAACCTTTCACCAAGGCTGAGCGCTTGGCCATGCGTCGTATTCCAAGACACAACGTCATTGTGACTACTATAGGTAACCCTTCAGGAATAGCAGCAACAGCTAAACTTACTGCTATGTTAAATATCTGTGAAGAGAGAGAGAATTATTAGTTAAAAATAAATAAAAGAAGAAATGGTATATGGCTTAGGAATAGATACAGGAAACTAAGATAACAAAGGATGTAAAAATCACACAAAAACTACCTATAAGAGAATTACAAATATTATCTTGACTATTGCTGGAAATATGGATAACCAGAGACACAGATGGTATGAAAATATCAATAGAAAATTACCCTTTGGAATAATAACGCTTTGTAAATTACTATGAATCGTTTATTCAGCAAAACCTGGATTCTAAGTGATCATAATAAAGATCGTACATCATTACATATAAAAATAAATTATTAGGTTTGTTAACAAGACATGAAATATTTTGTTATGATACTTCTAGTTTTTAACCAAGCACAAATCAGTTCTAAAATTATTAAATTATTGCAAGAGTAACCAACAAAACACACACATAACATACCTTGTGAATAGGAATGCTTTGGTACAGGCCCAAAATGAACACTACACCAATAAAGCAGAAGGAGAATATAGACAATTTTTTAGCTAACTCATCCATATTCTTCTGCAGGGGTGTTCTGGGAGCTTCTTCCTCTTGCATCATCCTGAACAACTCCCCAAATTGTGATTTTTCTCCGGTACTTATGACGATGCCTTTCCCCCGACCAGTACGCACAAATGTACCCATATAGGCAAGGTTTCCCATGCTCCCCGAGGTACTGTATGTGCTGGTCCCTGTGATGTTACTAAACTGGAAGTAAAAAAAAAAAACATCAAGCATAAATTAGCATGTAAGAGCCAAACAAACATCAAAATTAGTTAAAATATCTTAAATCCTATACAAAACCTTAGTATTTTTCACTTTGATCTTAGATAAACAAAAATTTACTTAAACGATATGAATAATCTACCTTCGGTGCCGGTTCGGTCTCTCCAGTGAAACTGGACTCATCTATACTCAGATCAGCAGACTCAAACAGCCTTAGATCTGCAGGAACTCTGTCACCAATACTTAGGTGGACAATATCTCCAGGCACTAATTCTCTTGCCTGGTACTCTCGCAAATTTCCATCACGAAGACACATGCAAGTTGCTGGTACCTGAAAAAACAATGCGTTAATAAAACAGGACCTGATACTGTATGTGAAGGAGAGGCTATGGTGACCAATCATAGCCTTGTCATTATATTAGACAAGGTGTGTTTGTACTTAAATACTGCTACTTGCTTGCACTGACCAACAAGTGAAAAAGTAGGATATAAATTAAAAGAATGTACAAATAGTAGAAAAAAAGGTTCAAAATAGAGAAGAGGAAAAACACCTAAGAATTTACTTAGAATATTTTACTGGATATATTTATTTCTTGCCCTAACCCCTTCCAGTTATTTTCTACACCTGCCTCACATACCCTTAACCCCATTTCCCACGCTACAATAATTTACACACTTTACTGTAATATCAAACCGGGGAAATCCATAACATCATGGCGGGTATTCCCATGAGCTGTGGCATTGGTGGCAGAGCACTTTGTTTACATATTTTCTTGTTTCCCTTATTGTTCAGGTTGATTCCCACCAACATGGCCCAAAACTAAAAAGACATTGCCCATCAGCCAGACAGCATTACTTGTTACCCTTGAGGGGGTTAAGTATATATCAGGGCCAACCCACTTACAAAACTGAGCTCTGTAATGACCTGTATATACCGTAAAATAGGAGATAAATATTACTAGCTACTACACTTACTTGCTTCTTAAGCTCTTCTAAAGCTTTATCTGTTCTAAGTTCTTGAGTAAATGCCACTGTTGCCACAATTACAATGGCAAGAGTGATGACAACAGCATCATCAAACTGACCCATGCAGAGGGAGACAAATGATGATGCCAGCAGGAGGAGAATCAGAGGTTCTTTAAACTAAAAAAAAAAAAAAAAAAAGATTAATATGCATATACAGTATTACAACTATTTTAAAAACTTTCTAAAACCTACTTTCTTAAAGGTCTTAACAACATTTGAAAACAACTAAATCTTTGTAATAATTTAATAGTAATAAATATTCAATTCAAATCTTTAAATAAAAAAAATGAGATTTTGAGGCTATTTTCAGTATTCATAAACTATAACAACTGTTGTCCTATAATAACTATGTGCACTCTATTCAGTTATAACATTAAAGATTAAAATGCGATACCGTAATGGTGTCGAGTTTTACACTGCAATGAAGTCAGTAGGTATGATGTGATCTCACCTGACCCAAATACTTTTTCCACATGGGATCATCTTCTGTCTCTGAGAATTCATTGTAACCAACTAACTGTCGACGAGTTATGACCTCTCGAGGGGGGAGACCAACGTTGGGATCCGTGAGCAGAAGGCGGGCCACCTCCTCCCAGGGCAGCCCGCCCCCCTCCCGCCCACTCACCCACATCCCAGACCCACCAGTGTCTGAGATGGTGATCTGCTGTTCAGATGTTGTCTTTTCTGGTGTGGAGACAGAGGATGAAAGAAGTCCAGTTCCTTCCTATAAATATTAAATGTTTACATTACACAGAGGTCTCATTTACAGCCAAAAATACAGGTAAGTTAAATTACACTTCACATATTATTCAACAGTGTAAATTCAATAGAGGATAACCGTTTGTCTATACTGTACGTACATCAAATATTCTGAACACCTAAAATAAGCTTCTCCAGGGAGACTGTTTACCTATGCATCAAGCCATCTGTGTATCCAGTTGCAATCATAATACCTTAAACTAAAATGGATTTTAACCAATCTTTATGTGTATATACAGGTATTTAACTAAAATCTCTCAGGTGAGGTCAAGAATCATCATCTTCAATTCTTACTGTCTTGATTATGGCCCTTTGGATTCTGGTACGGCAAAGTAGGGGAACTGCCTACCTTAACAGACAACATTTTGCTGGTAAATTTTGATTCCTCCTGTTAACCCAAATTTCTAGTTCATGAAGTTCAAAATGTTGACCACAAAGACAAGGGTCAACTCCACAACAGGAGAGAAATACGGATTATCAAATATATTCCAGATTCACAAGATAAATGAACAGACGGATGAACAATATATCCACATAAACCAAACCCCAATAAATACAGTGTGTGAAAGTGGATATTAACAAACAGCATCATCAGGAGAGGTTTGACTGTGTGTGAGGTGATCATAGTCTATCCAACACACTCCTTCACACCCTCTATACTGAACTAGGTCTTCCCACAATGATAAAAAGGCATTTACATCAAGTGTGGAGTAGCCTTTGGGGTCGAGGTCTAGAATCAAGATGTTTTTCAAGAGTTACAGGTTCTAGATGCTTGGAATTACACTAAAGAGCATTTTTGGGAGGCATTACAAGTCAGATGAAAGACTTAACTTAGAAACCCCAGCTAAACAAACCAGCTAAAGATAGCAGGTGTGCAAAAATTGGTGGCAGCATCATCACAGTAATGGGGAATATGGCCATCCACATGCAGTGTCCCACAAGCAATTACCGCACTCAAGGGTATTGTAAATTTCTCACTTACAGTATTTCAAAATCAATATTAAAAAGATAATCTGGAACATAATTTAATTTGGCACAAAAAGATCTTTGCAAAAATCACCAGAACCATTCAATGGCTCAAGCAACATGCAACACGCTAAAGCCCAAGAAAGGAGGTTGCAAAAAATGTCACATAGGTACAAACACTTAAGTAATTCAAAGATGAAAGGTTATGAAAGGGTGAAAACCAGTCATTGTAACCACCGAGTATTTTATATACAGTACAGTACTGTACTTTACTTTACTTTAGATAACAGATATTAAGATAAAAAGTTAAACCCGTTTGACCTTTCACAACAGAGCCTCATCTAATGTAGTTTCACTTAACGGACATGGAAAAAAAAACATAAATTCCATAATCATAATAGTAAGAATGCTGTACCACTAAAACAGAAAAATTTAAGACAACTCCAGCATATGTAAAAGAACTAATGAACGTGTTTTCAGCTAACCAGCGTTCGTCTAATCAGTGTGTGATGCCTGCCAAAACTCAAGTCAATTGTGTCTTAAAATTCTTTCCTTTCTCACAATCTCTGCATATGCTGGTAAAGCAGCCAAGGTGAACAGGAAAGTAATTAGTATGGACGTGAAAATAAAAGTGGTGTTTGGCGTTTGAGGACGACAAGCATCTGGAGAATGTGGGTCGTCTTCCATTAAAACAATACCCGACAAAATTCCAGTGGCGAGTGTTGATAAAATTTAGTTTCATACATACGTTAATTAGGTCTTCATTTTATCTATTAAAAGCCATAAAAACACCTGAAGAGCCATTACCCAAGAGAGACAGTGTGTAGCATTTATAGGTTGAGAATTGACACTTAGGAACAAATCAGTATAAGCAACATGTTATTATGAGATCTTTTAACAGCTTAACCATGCTTCAGGAATGTATCTTGTCTGTACTATACAATACTATACCTCTTGTTTACATCTTTATCCAACAAGAGAGGAAAATAATATTAAATTCAGCTTAATCGTAAATGGCTAGGAATGATCCTCTTATGACTACTGTACAACCAATGGGGAATGTTCTACATCAACACATGTACAGTACTGTATGTGTCATTCTGAGCACTAAAATAACCACTACCGACTTCCCTACTTGCCAGGCTTTTGATTTGATGGAAGCAAGTGCTGTACAGTACAGTATGTGAGGCAATAAGTTACTGCATGGACATTATGGGATACTAGATTCAATGTTATAACTAAAAGAATATGTTCAACATCAAATTGTTAACAAAACATGCAACACAGAAAATTTTATCACAGGCAATTTTCAACAACTCTAGAAAATGTCCTCATCAGAGAACAACACGTGACAAACACCATCACCAGGAAATTTAAATCCTGGCAGACACATCCTGCAACAGATGTAGGGTCACACTGCACTGGCCACATCCTGCAACTGCTCCGAGGCAGTGTAGGACTCTCGCCTATTAGTATTAGATAATCCATGTCTGAGTTAAAACATACTATATCAGCTCTTTTGTAGTGCCCCATGCAGGAAGAAAATAACACTATTAAATTTGATTCTGGAGAAAAAGATGGTCATTCCATGCATAGTAACAGTGATGTCTGTAAAGAGGGTGACTTTTCTCAAGATTTGGCCAATTACAGTAGTTTTAGGGACAATTAGAGTGACAAGGATGAGGGATATGATGATAGTGGTGGCAGTGGGGGGGCTTCCATAACCCAGTGTCCATCCATGAGGCTCCCACATGGGATTGGATTGATAATGTTTACCCCCCCCCCCTTTCAACTTTGATGGTATAAATCAAAAGTTTATGACAGGAATCAAATGCTTTTATGATTTTTTCCCAAAATTCCCAACTCTGTTACTGTACCCTAGAGTGTACATCTATGATAATGTTACTTAAAAGGTTTAACCTAGTTTTATAACAGACTACAAAATGACCTCTTCCCTATCAAGTAATATTCCTTAAATATATGTTCCAGATAATTTTAAAATTAACTTTTCCTGTGTAGCAAACCTGCACTCAAGACAACCTGCCTGCACATATCTCCTTCACAAGGATCAGACTTCCTCCAAAGACTAAGAACCTCTTTCACCTGTTTCACTCAAGACACCTAATGACTGCTGGCAAATGTTGTTGTAAAGCTTCAGAAGTGCAGTATAGAGTATGTAAACTGTTATACTTTAATTTTAAAGCCTAAAGACTGAATATCAGATTACATAAGAACACCAAGCAAAGATTTGAGTTGTAATAAAAGTTTCATTACTAAGAATGAAGAACTTCCAAGTCAGACAAACTCTAGTGCAACTTTGAAGCTGCTTCTACTATTATCTTCCATAAATACACAGACACAAATTTCATGAACATAATACTGTACTGTCAAGCTCCAACCCCTGATATGGCCCAATAAAGAATGATAAGACACTATCAACATAATAAAAAATGAGGCGGCATTTACAGAAACAAGCTATAGGGTGTGACAAGTCTCCTCCCGTTGTCTGCCAGATGCACATTTTCTATCAAACTCAAAAACAGTTGTATCATCCTCTAAACTTATGGAATGTTAAGTGATGAATCTTATATAGTTTCTGTAGTGACTGGTAATGAGGACAGGTAGACAGACAAACTATCACACAAACACAGAGAAATGAAGAGTAATCCTAAAGTACAAGTCCTTGTTGTTTTCAATAACAGGAGGCAGATAAGAGTAAGAAACACAATGGCACAAGAAATGAAAATAATATACAGGTCCTAACAACAACAAAAAATGCTACCTAGTGTGCAAAATATAGAAAACAAAATTTCCCTTCAATCCTTCAGACTTATTTTGTCTTTCCTTCTATGATTCTTCTCTTTCATCATTGTCTTTTCCTCCGGCTTTCCTCCTCCTCCACAAGCCCTATATCACTGCTCTGGTATCAAAATTCCTCTACATTCTTTGTGTTCAGAATCCTGGATACCTTTACACCGTGAACATATAACTGACAATGTGCAAGTCAGAGCATTGTGTAACAAGTGGATGTGACTACAGGAAATGAATCATACACAGCAGAGAGACCTCATAGAATGGGTTTGTGAAGGAAAAGTCCATGAAAACATTATACAAATCCTATGATAGTTACTCTAGGGGGTAACAGAAGCCCAAAAATCTATAGCATTATATTCTCTCAATTACTGTAACCTAAAGGAACTATATACGATCTTTACTCCTCTACTGTAGTGTGAAGGGGAACAAAAGATATGGAAAACCCAAGAAAAGTTGTGTTCAGTACAGTATAGGGTCAAGAGGTGCAATATAAGTGTTTGAAGGTGGTAAGAAAGACTCAACTCGCACACTTTCTCACATCATCAACACTTGTACAGTATTAGTATAATTATAGTGAATTCCTAGAATAATGCATTTCTGTCTCAATTCAACCTTTCCAATTCTCTTCAATATTAACATATCATTGGTTCTAAAAGAATTCTCAAAACTCTGATGTGTGTCAGTACCTCAAAGACTCAATGGCTATTCTCAAAGCATTACCTAAAAAATGTGGATAAAGATAGACACACAGGTTAGCACCTTTGTCCAGAATACACATGAGTAATGTAAGTAAGTGTGTGGGTTCAATAAGGCCAGCACCTGCCCAGAATCAGAATAGGTTAGGTCTGAAAGTCATTGCAATACTGTACCTCTATACCCTAAACCTCAAGCTCAATTAACAGCTTCAAATCTAAAAATAATGAAACCTAAAATTTCCGACATTATACTGCACGACATTTACATTCACTGGTAATATTCTTATTCACATAAATAAATAAATACAATATACTCCCAGTTTATGTACAAGTCATAAATTATCAGGAAAACCAGGATTCATTACATTACTTCATGCCCTGGTTAAACTCAAAAGGAGTTTCATAGCTTGGTCCTGACTCTCTCACCTAACCCATTCCGAATCCGGAGTATTTGCATTAAGAACCTGGGAACCAAGTAAGAATAAGTCAGCCTGCACAGAAAAAACCAAAACATGCACCAAAAATATAAAAATCACCTCGGTAAATAAAGTCAAGAATAACCAAAACTAAAGAAGCATAAAATGACAAAGAAATGTGAGAATGGCAAGTCTGGCAAGTGCAATCTTTGAAGGAATATGTGGCGAAGATAAACTCAGCATGGCCGGTGTGTGAATGTGGAAACAAAATATTTGGAGGCAAGTTGCTCATTTTCTTTCAAATGGTCTTCACACAGCATCCAGGGGTAACAAATTACAGCTTCAAGTATCATCACAGCATCGAATCTCTAATAATGGAGGAATGTGCATAACGGCCAGGGTCTGAATTCACTAAAGTACATACCGTATTATGAATGTTCCTCATAATTGAAAATGTAAAAATAAACAAGTGGCTGATATAATACGAAAAAAAAACACCAAGTTACACCGAGATTCTACCGTAACTATAGTCTATTCACTCGAAGCTTGCAACTGAAGCCTAGGGTCAGGTTTGTAGCTGGAGAACGGACACTAAAAAAAATCACTACAATTCTTCAGTATTTCATCAATCGTATTTAATTATATTTTAAGGAATGATAACTTCCCTGTGTTGATCTCTGCAGTGATTCTTAGAGCGTCCGTCCACCAGCTACAAACTGACCCCAGGCCTTATTTGCAAGCTTTGAGTGAACAGACTATAGATACATTCACTTAACAGTAGCCAGCAGACAAAATTAAGGTTGAAAAGTGTTTCTCTATGAACATATCTAGTGAAGGCAAATGAGCTACTTTATTTTTGTCCTTTAGATCAAGTCATTCAGTTAGATTAGTCTTACACTTTTAGCTAAGAGGAACATCCACTGTATAAACTTTTGAGAATCGGAGCTCAGGTCACACGAAATCCAAGGGAAATAATCTACAATCTTCGGTCATTATCAATACTGAATCTCTGCTTACTACACAGTCATCATGCTGCAGTGATAAGAGTACTACAGGTGAAATATATACACAGTAGATGAATACACTGTACTGTAGTTTGGTGATTGGTGTTAGAAGAGCAAGTGTACGCAAGTGGTGGTTACACTGCACTTTAACCAAAACAAAAGCAAACAAAACAACACACATCTTCAAACCAGATATAAATTAAATGGGTTTCCTCTCTAGCAATAGTAATAATGACCAAGAAAACACAAAGCAAAAATTCTGAATCTTTACCTTACCAATTTGTAATAAAAATAAATGTATCCCTGTAAAATATGATTTATTTCTAAAGTATAAAATTTTTACAACATATTTAAAACTTATAAATATTGTTCTGACTGGAAAAAAAACTTATATTCCAAGAAACTCGAGAAAAATACTAAAATTATTCCGGTGGCTCATGGAACACACGATAAGCCAAGACTCGGTCATTACAGTATGCTCAAAAGAGAAGCCCACACTACTAGCTATATGATGCATAGAAACTTACATCCTCCATTTGTTTTTCTTCTTGATTACTCATTACTGAAGGGAATCAATAAACCTACAAAAGAAGTGCAAAAATTACATCATTAGATAAAATGCACACACGCACACATACTACACCCATAATAAAAGCAATTTCTCTAATAAGCAGAGCTCTAAAGGTCCAACCTGAAGACAGTTATCATGGCAACATGAGTAATGAAAGATACGAGTGAAAAGTTAGCACAATGCAGACAAATATGTATTCAGTATAAGTAGCATGTAAACATAGTACTTTAGATATACTTTCTACCATCATTTGATTAAGAGAGCATAAATTCCCCCATGAAAAATACCCAAACCATAATCTTTTAATTCCACACCAAACCACACAGAGGAACTCCTTTAAGATTATATATAAATGTAGTGACCTTGCTGTATTTACTGGTAGATTATAGACTATAGATAAACTTATCATTAACCTTACCAACACTTGGTCACCATATCTTACTCTCTCACATAAGTGATTAATGACCAAACATGACTTCAACAGGTTTGTTATTCAAATTTTTCTAATAAAAAACCTGCATGCATATGGAAAATGGAATGAACATTAAATTAATACTGTATTCACATAAAGCATTTCATATAAATTTCTTCCATACAAAAAAATTGAACCTGCTCTTAAATATACCGTATGTCTGAGAGTCAATTATGCTTTTTAATGTTTTCTTCTTCACTCTTATAAGTCCTTTACTGCTACTGGCTCAGAGTCAGGAGCAACAGACATTTGCCCTTCCCAATCTGTCCTAATGGTTGTTCTGCCACAATGCTCCTGTTCCACGACAGAGCTTCAAGTAATGTCTGGTTTATTCTTGTCACTTCCAACAGCCAGAAATCACACATGACCAACAAGATATTTACACCAATACTGTATTTTGATTTTCTTTAAATGCAACATTGAATAAACTCTGAATTAAAGTGTTCATCTAAAACTTTCTGAAGAAATTCATTGGACTTACCAAATCATAACTACAAAATGTACATATAATTCCAATAGCTGCAGTAATTCTATATACAGGAATATATGGTCTTGTCATGGACTCACTCGCTACCAAGAGAAAAATATATGTTTACACGGCTGCAGCCACGAGTTATTTGCAGAGTATATAACGTACCGTGTATGTTTTATCACCAGTATGTATAAAATGCTGAGTAAATCCCTTCTGAAATTCCTACACGTCTCACTGGTATGTACAGTAAGTTCTTCCTTCTTTACATAATTTCATAAACTATTAGAGTAAACTCATAAGTACAGTACAGTAACACATGAACTTCCAGGGTAAACTGTACTATATTTTATTCCACAATAATCTCAGACTCTGCCCATTAAGATAGAGAAGTTCCTAATCATATATGAGCTCGAGGGGTCATGAGTGTGAGGTCACATATTCACACACATGACATATACCTTCCACAAAGGAGATTGGTTATGATGACAAGTCCTCTCCATCAATTTAATGTTTATTTAGCATATACTGTTTACCCAAGACCATGCCCACTCCATGATAGGTATAGGCCTGTGAGACCAACTACAATGTACTGTATGCATTTCCTAAAATACTTCTGGTGAATAGCTGGCATCACTTGAGTAACAATATACTGCTGCTAAAAATATCCCATCAACACTGTGCCTCACCAGCAGGAAGCCTGCTGTAAACACAACCTCATATACTTTATATCCTCATGAATCAAATTAAATATGTGGTGGTAAATTTCCTGTGATTTTAGTCACAAAATCCAAACAATGAAAGAAAATAAAAAACTAATTATCGGTATGCTAAATATATTACAGTACACAAAAGGAAAATATGTAACTGTAAAACCCACCACAATAATAAATATAAAAAAAAGGCTCCAGTAAAAATAGCTGCACTCTGACGACACACGCCCTTCACCCAGTCAACTCTGTTCAACACTAAACTCTCCCAGGGAAACCCCTCAAGCTCTCGGGTAAGAGTTGCCACTTACTATTTAAAGCTTGTGGGAAAAAATCCACATATGCAATAAATGTACCATGAACAACCAATAAATGAACACACTAGTTAATTCTAATATATATATATATATATATATATATATATATATATATATACTGTCTGGTACGTAAAATATGTCACATACTGTACACAAGACAATGCACACACACAATAACAGTCCTCAAAAAGAGCAAGCTTACCACTCTCTTATGTCCCCAGCTGCATAATAATGCTACAGGAACATGGGTAGAATTCAGTAGCAGTGATTATCAACACCTTGCCCCAACAAGCTGATGCATGGATTTTATTTCCATTGGACTTTCTTAATTCTGCCTAGTGTTTGTCCTTTACAGTCTTTATTAAGTACTGTACAGTACTGGCCACTGTAGACATTAATGCAGGACAGTGGCCACTCTTTGTTCATTATGAACCAGTGAAGATTTAAGGAAATTATACGAGTGCCAGCAAACATTTACAGTACTTACTGAGAGAGAAATTAAACTCAATACAGTACAAGGATACAGTAACTCAAATGTCTAGTCCTTCGTTTCTTCTAATACTGTACTACATGTATGTACTATTATATTAAACTTAATAATCCTAAAAGTTATCAAAGAAAACAGGCCATAATGAAGGACTCTGAAACAGTAAAAGGGTATATGGAATGCCTCAGCTCACTCCCTTGGTTGCAGGTCACATAGCCTCGGTCCTAATACATGTAGTAGCATTAGCCTCACCTCGCTTAGCATACAAAAGAAGGACGAACTGCCCATTAAAACTGGCCAGAAAATAAAGGGTTGGGTAGATGCTGTGCACAATATACAATATACAGGGTGGAGGTAAAATGTAAAAGTAACAAGGAGATTAGAGGTACTGTACTGTGCACAAGACATGGGGGGGATACTATACACAAGACTGTGAATAGAGGTAAATACAGTGCACAAGACACACAAAGGGGAAGCTGCACAACACAATGGATGGAGGTACAGGATACAGGATGGAGGTACAGGATACAGGATGGAGGTACAGGATACAGGATGGAGGTACCCAATTACAGTACTCCTTTTTATCATTTTGTCCCAAACACAAAAAAGACATTATAATTTAATTTAATAAAAACCATTTAACTTCACAGATGCCACCACCTTTGCAAACTTATGTATACTTAAGTGAATGAAAAAATCTGCTAGAGGATGCTGTTATATAAGGCGTCATATAGTACTACAGTATTCTGAAGTGTAATGAGAGGTAAAACTTTAGAGTTAACAAATGTGGCTTAGTTTGTTTATCACTATGCATTCTGGGATAAAGCTGGGGTCGTTTTTCTGAAGGTACGTGTCATTTTGTACTGGTGATGTTAGAGGTGGTTTCAAAGTGTCCTGTGATAGATTGCAACAAAATTGATGACATGTAAAACTCAATGGGGGATTACAATACCCTTTTGAAGTTTATCGCACTCTCAATTTACTGTATAGAAGTCACGTGTTCCTTGCCACTAGTGTGTGAGGTCAGATCTGCTTCAGCATAAATTTACCAGATTACCATCAGCACTGGGAGGTGAACCACAACTGTGTAAATAATGTGTAGGTGTCAAAGTGCTCATCAAATCTCTCTGCCATGCACATGTTATCGTCATCATCAACGTATCGGAAATACTGAATTTATGATATTTTATCACACACAAATCCTATATGTGTGTGCAGTATAAATGAGACATTATATATATATGGTTAGTTATTCAAATTTTGTACTGATGATCTTATCAAAAGGAATCCCATTAGCATTACCAGTTCTTAACAAAATTACTATGTGCTATGAAAATCCCTGAGCCTGTAACTTGACAACATAGCCCGTATGAACACAATAACAGGCGATCCTTCAGGAGTATCACTTGTATCATCTGGCTCCCTTAAAAGTTAACAAGGATGGGACAAACTTCCTCTCTCTCTATTTCTTACATTATACCCCAACAAAATATGTTATCAATTGAAAACTTAGTTAATTGCAAAATTCCATTCAATATTCCCTATATTAATTCATAATTCTTTTTTTCCTTGAGGTACAGTAAGTATACAGTAATATTACCAATGCTTTTCTCAAGTTCAATAAATACATAATACAGTACTGTACAGTATTATTAAAACACAATACTGTATATCAAGGCTTCTGATTTTTTGCATGAAACAAATTTTTCCATGAGAAACAAAACACATTCTTGGTGGGGTACTTTGAAGTACTGTACTGTAGTATGCACTGTACTACAGTATAGGAGGTCCCCGACTTACGAACGCCCGCCCTCCTATATGAACGGAGTTAAACTTTAAATTTATAGTATTTTATTTACCTGAGGACTTATTTTTTACTTTCAATTAATGTATATTGCCATTCTGTTTCTTCTTTTGTCTTAATTAAGTGATTTTAGATGTATATAAGGACTTAGGCTATGATATACAGGGATTTTAAACATTGTTCTGTAAGTACGGTATGTACATAGCAAGTGTTCTGACTTATGAACGTCCTCAGGAACGGAACCTGTTTGTAACCCAGGGACCCCCTGTACTTGACACTAATTCTTCACACAGTTACACTTTAAATCAATAAAAAAATATCACACACAACCATACATGAAATGCATTATGGATACATGAAACACTGTACAATCTAATATACGTACATGAAAGACAATATCAAATATATACACTCGTGCAGGTTCATCCTCTCAGATGTTCATCAACTGACCACCACCACCACCACCATCTACACCCATTTTTGCCACTATGACATTAAAACAATAAACATGAAATAAATATACAGTATGAATGAATAAAAGAATTTACATTTAAACCATTTCCTTACATTACTGGGCAGGAGGAGGCAATAATCAAATCTCTTGTATAACATAGCTTTAATTCTGGAATGTGCCATGAACTGGTTAAATACAGCACCTAGCATGATAAATTTGGCTAATACTGTATACTTCTTATATACAGGAAAGTAAAAATTTCCCTTTAGTGTTGTTACCATTGAAAGTCCAAACACCAATAAGCAATGTAGTCTCTGTATTCAAAGCATTTACAGAAGAGCTGAATGTGTTGATCTAGATTACAAGTATTAATGTCAACACTATTTTACTTACACTTCATTCTTGCAAGCCCTTTCCTGTTGCAACAGAGGATGGCCAGAATCAAAAGAAACAGAGACCCTCCCCTTATTTGCTGTCAATCATTCTTTCTCACTAACATATCAAATGTAACATAAGCAAGTTAAGGCCTTACCAGCAAGATAGCATAAGAAATTTTAAGAAAATAGAGCATTAGTGGTAAGAGAACAAGATATGATTAGGATACAAAATATTGTAACTTCTCTCACTTTGAATCCGAGTGAGTAAACTGGCCACAAAGAAAGACTTCTACTTTTTCTAAGCTAGTGTTTCATTAGTGACTAGCACCAATAATTACACAGTACTACAGTATACTACCACTAGGACTAGATAGACTATAATTGTCAAGCTAATTCCCCTGAGGATTACCTAAGCATTGGATATAGCTAATTAAGCAAGACAGTCACAGATAAATACTGTGCTGTAGTCCCCCCAAAAAGTATCATTAGCCTTGGGGGTCAATGTGATTCGAGGCTTTCTGATCAATGTTACTCGACCTGTTTCTGAACGGTTGGTAGTTCTACATCTGTGACCTTTGAGCGTGAATGAGTACAGGTATATACATTTTTGAATGATAAATACATTAATATAGCTTAAGTATCTAGCATGCCAGCAGGCATACCAACTTATGATGATGCACTGGGGATCATATCAAAGCATTTTGTCTAGTGTTTCAAATTGTAGACAGAAAATCAAACAATAGTTTTTTGGGGACTGTACATTACACCCTCCCCCAATATCAACTCCAGAAAAATCAAAACTTTATGCCTATATTACACAATCTGCTCAGTTATAAAGAAAATATAATAAGTAAAATAAAGTTGTCTGGAAAAGTATTGATGATACATTTCCTCCACTTTCAATATGACTGGAGGAATACAAGAAACCTCCAGGTGCTGTTATTGCACCCAAAATCTAGGACTAACCCAGATTATACATCAGACTTATGCTCTGTTTATCAGATTTAGTCCTTGGCCCAACCACAAAGCTGTGAAGGGATAATTTCCCCCCAAAACATGCTTAAGTCAAAGGTGAGGACAACTTGCCTTCACATGGTTTGCTAGCATGCCTCAGGTCCCCCAAACTCTGCAGAACACACACCTGTGGCATGTGCTGCCCATTATGCACCACAACTCTGGCCTTACTAATTCTCATCTCAAACTTGCAAAGTTGCATGCATAAATTCCTGAACTTTTAATTCAGTCAAAGGTGCAAGGCTGATAGAAGAAAAAGTTTCTCTTCCCTATGCAAGAGAACTCACTAATCATCTGGAAAGCTAAATACTGTAACCAGAAATTTAGTGACACTGTTCTATAACATCACTGAAAAAGCTGCTATGACATCAAACAAAAAATGCCAGCGCCAAACATTCCTAATACTGTAGTCCTGCAACATCAGATCTTATCAACAAGACAAGTGCAAGTCATCACCAATTTATGTATGTTATAATGTTAATACACTGCTAATAGATGGAAGTAAAAGAGTTCCTCACAAGGAGGCAAAAATGTAGCAATTAAAAATCAGTGAATCCAACAAGTTGTAATTTTTCGACTGTATGGAAGTAAACAATGTATACTAACAGTATGCTGTTCAGTAATAGACACAAGAATAACAAGTCTTTAAACAATTATTAATAACTACAAAATACACAGTTCAGCTTGAAAAGAAGATGGTAATTTAGGTGTTGTCTTCTAGAAAATGATAAGGCTGATGTTGTCAAATACCATGCACACCTGCTTGAAATACACAGAGCACAGGTAACTACTACTGAAGAGATACTAATGAAAATTCAGTCTTTAAAACAAAAAACAGTACTGTAGTATTCACTTACTCCTATGTTGAGAGTAGCAGCATGGCCATTCTGCATTTTCTCATAAACAATATAGGGATTGCCTCGCTGAAATCTTGCTGATATTTTCATAGACATGGCTCTCTGGTAAAACTGTCCACTGTTATGTGTAGCCTACTTGTGCTTAACTTTAAATCTTCATACTGACATCTGAAGATTTAAAAATCTTTTTCTGCTGATAAAACTTTCACTGTGACCTCTAGTATTATTTCTGTTAAAATCAGGGAGACTGAATTATTAGGTGATAAACACTGTTTTTCAAGGCAAATAAATCTTCCATTAAGCACACGACACTACTACACTCTACTGTACATGTACAGTACAGTTCTTTGATATTACTCACAGGTATCTACAAAAATATTTATGTAATAAACATTTCAATTTCAAACATTACAATGATAGTATAAAATGTAGTAATACAGTACAGTATACTGTACAATACAGTTCAATACAGTACTGCACTGTACTATACTGTACAGTACTACTGTAATTCCAATTTCTTTTGATAGTTTCCATTTTTTTTTCTGGTTTAGGTGAAAATATACTTTGCTTTCCACGATACAGTATAAAAATGCAATTCAAAGACCCATTAAAACAGTGATGCATTACCCATACAGTACATACATTCTGGCGATTGCTGTAATGGAAAATTTGGCAATTTCCAACAAAGAGCTAACTATGATAAAAACCAAAGTTCTTGACAAAGGAATGATCCAAGGGGCAACTTATGTACCAGGTGACACTAACACACACTGTGAAACACTAAAAGCACAGCTGATCTCATTTTACACAATCAAACCTTGATTATAATAATAGTACTTTGACCTAACCTCAATCAATGGGGAATATCTTATCAACCATATCTATAAATGTTATCTTCAGAATGTAAACAGGTGAATCAAAATTAAACAATAACAAATAATTCATCACCAATCTGCTACTTCTAGAGCTAGACTGGATCATCAAAGCCATATATACACATCACTCATGTTAACCTTACATATGCATGTGTATGATACAACATTTACAAGTACTGTATAAGGACACAACATGTTCCTCTCATATGGTTCCAGTTACCTCATCATATAGTTTTAATGTACAAGGCCAGAAAGAAATCTAGAAGGCCGAGTGTCTGGTGTGTATAACAGACACCGTTTTTTTTCTCCCCTTTCACAACAAGACCAAAAATCTGGTTTACCCATCACTCCACACAAGCTGGATCAACAGTAAGCCCTTCCATATAATTCACTAATATGTTATGCTCACTCACACAGACTGATGCTCCCTGGATATCCACCCCTATCATTTCTAGTGCAACCATCCATCCATCTTTTTTTAACCACTTATCAGCTTGGTCTTGGACTTTCCCCATCACTCCTACCATCTACTTCTGATATGGTGTACGTATATGCAAAAATGTAATGATTCACGTTTTATAAGACCTGGAAAATGATGACAATCAATACATTGTAAACATATACCTGTAATAACAGGCCTAACAGGTGTAATATTAATATGGAAAAACAGACAACTCATCTTCAAATGTAGATGGCAATATAGCATCTGGAAGCTTGAAAATGAAAGGTTAGATAATACTACACTGTACATACAGTATCAATCCTTTCACACTCATTTTGTAACAAACTAAATACAGTATGATGGGTTAGGGCAACACCCCGATGTTATCCATCAAAAAACAAAATTTTTGTTTATGAAGATATGGTTCAAGTACAGAATAAATGATAGATATGGAACATACTGGGAGACATGTACAGTAACAGCCTGAGGGATTATGACATTACTGAAGGACACTGTTCCCTAAGAACCAGCAACTTGACAAAAAATTTCTATGGGGGAAAAAAAAAATCTTACCTCAAGAATATCTAAGCAGAATTCCAACTTCCGATGGGGATGCCATATTGACTTGTTTACGTAACAGTATATAATTTGTTGTAGATAAGACACGCAAACCAAAACTACCAATCCTAGGATGGGAAGTACAGTATATTATTTGAAATTAGGTTTAATATGTTAATTTATAAAAGGTGGTAATAGTTTAGAACACCAACTCGTGAGAAGGTACAACTTAAGGAAAGTTTTCGGTGCTATTTTACTTTCGGTCATCCGGGAATCTTAGGGGGTGGGGGCCGACACCCACTCCCCCAGTTAGATTCGATATATTGTAGTTCCTGGGTTCTGCTGCTAGGTTAGGTTAGGTTTGGTTAAATTAGTTTAGTTTAGATATCTAAATATAGGGATGACCAAAACCAAATTTTCTAGAGAAGAAAACTCTAGATTATTTAAAAAAAAAAAATCATAATAACTTTGGGGAGGTAATTGTTTTTGTCCTGAACATGATCTATGTCAATGCACTAGAGACGCCTTGTTTACTTGTACATTACCGTACCCAAGGGGTCCCCAACTTACGAACGTCCGCCAGCACGAACGGGGTTAAAATTGAAATTTACAGTATTTTATTTACATGACTAATTTTTTACTTTCATTTGCTGCATTTTGTCATTCTATTTCTTCATTTGTATTAAATTAAGTGATTTTAGATGTATATAAGGACTTAGGCTATGATATATAGTGGGATTTTAAACATTGTTCTGTAAGTACGGTATATACATAGCCCTCAGGAACGGAACCCAATCGTAACCCGGGGACTCTCTACTGTATTTGATTAGTCATGTATAAAATGAACCAACTAAACTTACTTATTAATGGAAGCATATGATTTTAGGTACCCATATGGCACCTTATCCACCAAGATACAAGAAAACTATTAAATAAACTCATCATATTTTATACAAACATCAAAATACAACTTACAATCACTAGGGTTAATCACACAGGTTTAATGCTGTCTCCCTGACCAAAACCTATAAGCTAACAGGAACCAACACTTTATATCAATATTCCTTCTGGTTGACCTAGCTTATTGCCATACATATGTACATCCAGAAAACATGACATTTGAGTTTAATTAAAGCAATACACATCTCTCCAGTCACTAATCAAAACCAGCTTTACTATATAACCGTAAAAATACTAGGAAGGGGAAAGTACTTTTACCACCAATTATCCAGTCACTTGCACCTTCCTTACCTTTTTCATGTGCTGGTGTTCTTGTACAACCTCGCTGGCATCACGAACCTTTAAATGACTAGAGTGACATCTGAGAATGTTATAATAGCAACTAGACACCAATAGCAGTAAATTTCATAGTGGTGATGGTCGTGTCCAACTAGCAATGTACGGTGACCATGTTACAATAAAAACTAAGAACCGGATAACTAAACTATATTAGTCATCTACTGAACTGAAATCAACTACATTAACCTTATCAAGTCTAATAACTCTAGAATTCTCTTGGTTTTGGTTAATTCATTTGCATTGGAATAAAATATAAATGTTTTAGCTATCTTTCCATGGTACTATTTTAACATTAAACCTCTTGTGAAATGTACACGCAACAGATTATCATTTGTTTTACTTACATGCTTAATATTATATCACTATTGGGAACTACCAAGTGAAATGTGTTATCATCAAATTAAATAATACTTATACATTAATTATTGATAAAGAAATATTAAATAAAAATTAATTCCCCCCGACAAATGTACGTGTAGGTCCAACAAAGCATGACCACGTTGATTAGAAGAATGTGTACCTAAATACAAATACCGGTTAGTTTCCCTTCTTTCATATAATTGTAAGTATTATTTAGATTTTCTTATGCCTTAGACTATGATGTATTTCTATTTCGTTCATAAATGTAGGCATATGAGAACTGGCCAAATATTTTCATCACGTCATGATTTCGTAATGGGTTATAATATCACACAAGGAAACTTTGGTTATTGCGGTTTCCCGAGTGAGGTCTTTTTTTTTGTAGTTTGGAAATCCTCTGTACTGTGGAGATACCAGAAAAATAGACATTCTGGCTATGAGGTAATACGCATATTATTATTTCTTTGAAACCAGGCAGCAATAAAGACCAAATGAGGGAACTGTTGGACACTAGTAACTCGAGTTCATTTCACTTACTCATAAACTATACAAATTGAATCGCCAATGATATCGTTTCACACCAATCGGCAAACTTGCAACTTAACTTTAGAAACTCTCCAAAATGTGTACTTAATTCAATATCACGACTTTACTTATGCCAAGGGTAATCAAATCCTGCTCACCAATAAAGTGTCGCTATAATGGTCAATACGCTGTTATTGGGGGTACTGCTTCAGTCAACCCAGCAGGCGCATGTTAAGATCCTTTATGACCAGATCAACGGGTATTGATATGAGGAATGAAAAAATAATACGTCTGTAATGAGATGTTACAACACTCGATTAGATACATTTACGAGTAGAAACATCCAATCTTGGCCGAAATACAAGAGCTCAAATTTGAAGCCCATATGATGAAAATGACCTTCGAAACTGACAGACAAACAGACAGTCATACAGATAGATTACACTAATGAATAGATATATACCAAACAGAAATCACGCCACGGGTAATGCAGACGTCATACCGAGTTATCATGGTGTTACGTAAAGCGGTTACAATACCACTTGACCATTGAGGGTGACTATCTTCAGATAATTGATCACTAATCAACCGTAAACATTTATGTGTGAGTGTAGGGTACAGCTGAGACAAAACGTGTAACGTCACCGTATAATTTGATTAACGGCGACAGTACGGAGAAGACGCTGAATGGCAACAATCGCCTTATGCGATTAACTACGTGGCCCTCTCCAGCTACGTACCGTATATAGGCTACGTGTGACATGAATGATGTGTGTTGTAAACCTCTGAAACATAGCAGGTCTAGAAGTGATCATGGTATATATGCTATGCAGTACATGCTAGTATTAACATTGGCACGGTTTCCGTTCTCCAGTATTAATGCTGACGTTTACAGAGATGACGGTGATTGGATACAAATGGGACTGATAGCTTGAATAATAATTATACTTCCACAAACTATCACATACCCAATACTACAACAAACCACTACCCACTACTACCGTACCTATAAATGGACGAAGCTAGCAAGTTGGCAGCCTCATGATACGAACCAATTAAATAATTACCCATCGTCGACGTGAGCAATTAATTGGATATTGAATTAACCAGGTGTCACTGAGCGGATCAGATACTTAAATATCTCCATACCAATACTTGCTCTACACAGGCTGCACTTAAGTAACTCTTAGATTCGTAGCTTTTACCCACAAGGTATTTTATTATTATTAATAGTAGTATCATTATTATTGTCATTTTCATACATGTTAATTAGAAAGCTTCTACGTATGGACATTTTTGTAGATTTTAAATGATTGACAGAGTAACTTCACACTCAACCAGACATACAATAATAGTGTTTGAACATGGAGTAGGACAACACCTGCACCTGGTGAGACTAAGGCAAACTTAGACTAAAAAATACCTGTAAGAAGTAAGGTTAGGCAGCAGTTAATCTGTACACGTGCAGTTAATGATACTTGGTGATCTACAGCTAATGACACAAGTGTTAATCACAGGATGAGAGCGAAAGCGTCGGTCCTGTGTAGTGTAGGGTGGAATCAAAGGCATTTCGTCTTATTAACTTTCCTCCTTTAGTCGACAATCTCTCTTCCCTTTCTCTTCGCGGCAATGTTGCTTCACTCTCTCTCTTTTACAGGTACTTTAACGGGCAATGTTCGGTGGATTTGGCATCCTGTGTACAGCCGGCAAGGCCGTGTGGTCGTAACGCACGTCTTGCCCGCGGTGCCCACCGTTTCTCTGTGGATGTCGGTCACACGAGAATAACCTGTTATAAGAAGGATGTACTATAACAGTGTTATAGTACATCCTTCTTTCCTCACACAGCCAAACTGTGGAATGCTCTACCTTCTTCTGTATTTCCATGCTCTTACAATGTCTCACTTTAAAAAGCTGATTTTCCGGCATCTTCGTGGTGTAGATTGTTACGATTTGGGGATTTAGAATATAGTTAAAAGTCTACCCAGATCCCAACAGGCAACAACAATAAAAAAAAGACAATCGGACTATAAAAGGGTAGACAGAGGATGCGAGTTTGTGTTGTGTATAATAAAGTACCATAAATTCCTTAACAAAATATTCAGCTTTCTATAATTTACCCTTAACCATACTTAACCTAAACATACGCAACATTGGCTTAACAGTATATACATATTTATACAGCATACAACAAACAGAAGCAAGTGGAGGGGGGAGGCAATATAAGATTACAAAATACTCAAGTGCAGTGCTGAGATGGCTGACGAGTAAGGCTGAGTATTGAAGAAGATGGTAGGTAGTCACTGTGCCGTAGGTTTCCAGGATAGGTGATCCTAGTGTGGTCACTTCCCAGAGTAAACTGAACACTCCTCGATCTGGAGCTGATGAGGAAAACTTCGAGGAGGTGACCAACAACCAGGATATGGAGAAGGGAAACCCCAGAGTGGTAACTAAGACTAGTCATACTCCGGTTTCGTCCCTAGATGGCGTGGTTCGTAGTGCTGGGTAGGTAGATCATGACAATTGATGGCGTGGTTCGTAACAAGATTAATACAGTATAACCTTTTTTTTTTCTATATTTACAATTTCTTTCCGTTCTTTTTTTTTCAAGCCCCCCCCCCTCCGTAGTGGGTCTTTTGACCTGTGCCCGGGTGGGCTAATTCCCGTAAAAAAAAAGTGACGTAACAACCGTCTACCGTCACTAATAAAAAAAAAAAGAATTCACACATTCAAGGTGTGGTAATTTAGAATCACCTGAAGATTAGACACCCTAATTTATTTCCCCGTAGATTAATCACAATAACACTAAGCTACACCAATCTGCCTTAACATAATGTAACCTATCTCAAATCTAATCTAGCCTACCCTAATTTAATCTAACTTATGCTAATGTAATCTACATTAATCTAACGTAACCTTACCTAACTTAACCAAATCTAACCGATAGTGCAATAAATTGGTGTCTAATCTTCAGGCGATTGATTTCTCATATAATTAAAACTATTTTTCAGGTAAAAAAAAATAGAAGTCTTGACTAAAAATAGGAGAAACAGTAGCAGCTTACTTAATAAATTTCTATCAGCACAAAAATCTAAATCTCAACCTGATTAACGTTGATATAACAATGTATATGGATCACCTTCAGAGTTGCCAACTTAGCGACTTTGTAGCTAGATCTAGAGCTTTTTGTTTTTTTCTAGCGACATTTTAGAGCGATTTGCGACTTGTCGCAAATCTAGAGATATCCACAGAAATCTAGCGACTTTCTGGATACTTTTGGACTGTCCATGAAAACTCAGTTTTCCTAATTTCGAGCCATAATATATAGCAACGGGGTTACAGGGACAATAAATAATAAGAAAAGTTTAATACATTTGAACGGGTCGTGGTACAGAAGGAGGGACACGTCTATTTCCTGATCACTTGATGTCAGCCCGTCCATGCATCTAACACCCTAAAATTGTGGTCAGAAGTGGCAAATTACAGAGATGCGACAGGTGAAAACCCTTACCATGATCTGGCTTAAATTGCACTCGCTGCCTTATCTCTTCCGCATTCAAACGCAGATGTAGAGCGCACATTTAGTAATATGAACTTTGTGAAATCAAAATTGCGCAACAAAATGAAACTATCGACATTAAAGGCAATTCTTACAATAAAGTATGGGTTAAAAAGACAGAACACCTGTTGTGCAAGTTATGAACTTCCTAGTGATATTTTAAGAAAGATAGGGACTGTGGAGGCATACAGTTACAAGAGAACCTGAACCAAGCACTTCACATGCTTCCAGCTCTACAGTTGTTCACACTGCCGACGACTACGAAGAGGACTGGGATGCAATTACTATTGAATAATAGGTAAGTGTGCACATTAAACTTTAAACAAAATAATATTTTTATTTTTACATAATGCATTTTATTTATACTCCGTCCATTATAGTCGGCATTATGAAAATATTATTTGCATCAAATTACTGAAGGGGGGGAATAATAGCTAGCGACTTTTCATGGAAGATTTAGCGACATTTAGCTACTTTTAGGTACCAGCCTAGCGACATTTGAAAATCCGAGTTGGCAATCCTGATCACCTTAGGCCAGAGTGTTGTGATGGTACTGAGTGTGAGCAGGTTCAGATATATCCTGAAGCTAGTACCTGTAAAGTATTTGCCAACAGAGACGTAAACGACCGTCCGAGCAGCTAACGAGCCACGAAGAGGATAATAGTAAAAGTAACACTGAAAATACATTGTGAATCCGCCTTTGAACACCGAACGCCACAGCCAGGGCGTCGGAATGTTCACGAACTTAAAACAATAACAATTAACAAACGTTTTAGTTGACAGTCACTCGGTTCTGTGCAGTAGAGGAGACACCTTAATATAAACTAGTCATAAAAAATAAGAAGTGATGATCGTTTGGCCTGGGACGAGCAGAAAGAAGCTACCATCCTTAAGCTCATTGGTGGAAGAAGCCAACAAAGCCCAGAAGACTGTGAGGGGTAAATTTTTTGGAGTGAAAGTTGTGAACTCTTGGAAACAATCTACCAGAGAGTGTTGTAACGGCACCGAGTGTGAGCTGCCTTGACCAACACTGGAGCAGGTTCAGATATATCCTGTAGCTAGTACCTGTAAAGTATTTGCCAACAGTGTGTAACAGAGACGTGACTGATCGCCCAGGCAGCTAACGAGCCTATCAGTGGTGAAGAGGATGACAGAAGAACAGTTGACATCTCATATACTATATATCTTCTTCCTTTAGATAAATGGTAATTCTTGATACATTTTGTGGTAATTATTGAAGATGACCAGTGACCAAATTTTTCATATTAAACAAAAATGCTGCAAAATACCACAATTTTACTGTGTTTTACAGTAGACACTGCTTTCACGTAAAAAATAAATAAATTACAGATCATAGTTAGTTCTTTGTTTAATATGCCGGGGGATCTGGAGGAAGGAGCCTCACAGCTAAGAAGTTAGGTAAGGTTAGGTTCCAGTAGGTTTCTTTTATTAGGTTGTTGAGGTCTTCTAACAATGCTTCTGCTGCTTGTTTATCTTATCAACTAAGGTTAGGTTAGGTTTAATTTAGCAACAAACACTTTTTAACACATTTGTCAAAGGTACGACAGTGTCCACAATAAAACAGTGAAAGTGCGGCATTTTTAAATTCGTTTTCTACAAAAAATTGGCAGTGGGCCAGTTGTCAATAGTTACGGTCTGTTATTTAGTAACATTTTTTATGACCTTTGTTTAATAACTAATATGTGGTAATGATATTACAGTGGGGTATGCTATAACGAACGGATCCTACTACGAATATTACTATAACGAACGGTTTTACCTATAAAATTGAGAATGCTATAACGAACGAAACTCCTCAACGAACATAATTTAAATTTTTTTATTTATTTTTTTTCTAATTTATTGTTTTATTATTACAAGTATTAATGATATTCTTTATTTCAGGGGTTTAGATGCATATTTATGCACTTTTTTACAATTTTTACAATTTTATATTATATTTTTCAGTGTTAAGTGGTTGTATTTGGGGGCCTGGAACGGATTAATCCTATAACAAACGAATGCTATAACGAACAAGGTTCTAGAACCAATTAGATTCATTATAGCATACCCCACTGTATTACAGGAGATACTGTATAAGTTTTGGTATGAAGCACAAATGTTTCTCCGACAGATGAGTAGCACGGACTCCAGCGATGACCATGCTCTAGCTGACACTGTTCCCTTAGGCAGAGGCGTCTTAGGCATGGATCATTCTCTCCAGCGATCACTAGCAACCTACCGCTATGAGAACGCTCTTGTTAAGACGGAACTGTCTGCTGCCTTAGAGAGACATGCTCGGGAAATGGAAGAACTTAGACTTAAATATGAAACTCTGGTGAGTCTTTTGAAATGAAGAACTTTATTATTCAAGATTTGAATTAACACTCATGAACTCATAAAGATTCAGTATGGTAATTGAAATTTTAGGTATTGTATGTTTAAAAAATGCAAGTACTTGTACTGTACAGTAATGTATTTTAAAATGACCTTTTTCTTTACCCTGTACTGTCCAGGGTAATTACTTTTAAGAACTAAATATAGTAAAATTAAAATTGACTGAATGATTCTGAGTTCAATATAATTACAGTATTTAACTTTGCTAAGCATAGGTAAGTGCACCTGGTGTCCTGATTTATATACATATATATATTTTTTTTATGGTTCAGGACCCCACCTGTTGCTTTAAACCTTCATGTGATTTTATAAATTAGGAATTGATTTACTTTTGCCATTATATAAAATCCTCTTTGGATACTGGTTATTAAAAAGAAAGAATGGCATTTGTACACTTTATAATATTGCAATTTTGAAATTTTCTCAGCAAAGAAAAGGAAAAATTATTACCGCAACACATTAAAGCTTTGTTACTCTGCAGATGAAGGGAAATGAAAGGCAACGATTAGCAACTGAGAAAGAGCTTTCTGAAGTTCAAGATACACAAGCAGAGAAACAGTGGAGGTTACAACAGACCAATCTTCAGCTGCAGCAGAAGATCAAGGTAGTACAGTATATTGAACACATGGGTTTTTATTTTCAACCAGTGTTGGATTGATGTACGGGCTAGTTCAGTTTTTGTTTATTGTACAGTACTACTCTGGAACTTTTATCAAATAGTGAAAAGAAATTGAGTCCTGTCGGCAAGAGATATTTCAAATTATTTAAAAAAAAACTTGTGTACAGAATTAAATGTGTACTGAAATACAGAGTATGGTCCTTTTTTTTCCTTTTCTTTTTTGGGTGTACTGTACAGTGTATTGCATCTGTGGATGGTGTCTTCTTTGTAATGATGTACTGTACAATTTATGGCGTGTGATTAGCTTTACAGTAGAGAGTTAGTTGGTGGTGTAGTGTGTGAGTTGGTCTACAATGTATGTTTGTGACTGTTTATTGGTGTACAGTGATTATTCCTCATTCTGCAATGTCTCACGTGAGGCCACTTATACAACTGTGACATCTCTCATATGAGAACTGCCATTTCTTATATTATGTGACAATTTTAGCATTCATAAATTATGTCACATGTCCCAGTAGAAGTCATACTACCCACATCCCGATAAGGCTCTCAGTTGCCGTTGTCACGATGGAAGATGCACGTTCGTCACCCTAATGACATATTACCTGCCAAAAGCTCACTTCCATTCCTCTCCAGAATTTCAAGTAAGCCAAAGATAACAAAGGGAAAGTCTAGTCCATATGACACCTCCCTTGACACCCGCCCTCCTAGTTGGTCGGTTGTTTGAGCTTTAGGTTTATCAATTGCCAGAGTCATTAAGGCCATCAATGCCAAGCTACATCTACCAACCTTAATACTTTCTTCAGGTGGTAAGGATATATTCTCACTGCGTATATGGTCCTTGACTTGCGCCCTCCTATCTAACCCAGGGCTGCCACCCACCCCCCCATCAATACAGGTTGGACTTCGCTAATCCGGGAAGCTTGGGACCAGACTGGTTCCAGATTAGCAAAAATTCCGAACCATCGAAACCAAGGTAAAAAATATGGGGAGATAATGCATAAAATGTACTATTACTGGTACCAATGCAACTTACATCAGCATAAATCCAGTCCAGATTTACTGGACCTCTTTATGACAATGTATTAGTGCTATGGCACAAGTTTACTGTTCTGTGACACAGAAATAAGTAGATTAGCAGAAAAAGCAGAGAAATTGTACCATTGTTCCAGTCCAATTTCTTCAGTATAGACACCTTTTCTAAAATAGTTAATGTCACATGCATATGTTTTGCTGCATTACAATTATTGCCACTGCTTGCTGGTCTCTTAGGAGGCACATTATAAGTATTTAAAGGTAAAACAGAAGCAAGAGCCACTAGAAGTGAGCTATGGCAGACGTAAACAATGTTGGCGGGTGATGGTGGTGCCGCAGCTGACCAAGTAGCAGTCTTGGAAACTAACGACAACCAGATTCAAACACAGTCCCGAACCATCGGGTCCAAACTGTATTTTCCCCACCCTCTTGACTCATTGTGAGAAAGGCCTTCAGCTCGCAGATATGCTAGTAGGAGGGATGGATGATTACTTTTGATTGCGAGTGTACTACATCTCTCATGTTCATCTCATACACCTTTGTATGTTGAGTGCTGATAATTATTTTTCTCTTAAAAATAAGTGCTTTTGATAAATAAAACACCAACTATTATTATTTTCATTATTCTACATGAAAGTAGTGGGGCAAGTTCTTGAAAGAGTTAACTACTGTATGTCATTTTGATTGAAAACAAACAGGTGTTAGAGGAAGATGTGGAAGCTGGTAATAGAACCCAAGACAAACTGATGAAGGAGAAGACCCAAGTTGAGGAGGAGTTACAGCAGCACAAACTTTCACACCAGACTAAACTTCAGGCTATCAAGGTATTTCAGCTGACCTTATCCACTAGTGAGTCAAATTGTAAATGACACAGTAAAGGGTACAGTAGCACCAAAACACATGCTTCTCAAGTTGTTTACCAGCAATGCAAAGCAAACATTAATATGGAGTACAGAGTAAGTTGCTACTGGCATTGTTTGCAAGCCATCACAGATCCCACATGCTTCCTAAGACAGCTTACTCACACAGCTCTATATGTTTCTGATGGTTTGCTCCTTTAATTTTAATAATGCATCTACTATACATGCTTTCAAACATCTCAAGATGTCTCTAATAATGACAGAAGAACACCAGTGTTCACACTGCTGCAACAATTTGAGTACGTAGTAAGTGGTTGGACAAAGGCGAGAATAATATGTCTGAAGATGACATAGGCTTAACTGCTATCTATGATATTCCTAAGTAGAAGGGAACATGACAGAAATTTTATGCTGAATCGCCCAAGAAGACTATCTCTGTTATACCTACTGATAATATGGTAATATTTACTGTTTTCTGCTTTTATGGGTCCTCAAAAGATAATTCTCTTGAAAAACCAGAACTCTTTAAAATTCTGACAACACCATTTCCCTATATGGGCTGGAGAACACAAAGTTACTGTATTACATGAACCTCTTGATCACCACATGGTCTAATAACTCCCTTTAGCACCTATTATTACCATCACTCATGCTTATGGCACCTCAGCCATCATGTATTGAAAAAATTAAGCATTACATTTGTATTGTACTCATCAGGAAGAAGTTTTATATACCTGTATTATAATTTGTTCATCTCTAATACTATGGTATGTAATTTGCAATTGAAGCAAGAAAAAAACCAGCTGAGTGAGACTGTTGATGTGTTACGTGGGGAGCTGGACAAGGAGCGAACCACAGTGAGAGAATTAACTACGACCCTTAACTCTGAGAGGCATCAACAGCAGCTTATTAAGGCGAGTTAAATTTAACAAACAACCTCATTTGGATAATAATTTTTTAATACAGTACATCATTAAAGATACCTACATATAAAACTTGACAATAATATTAGCACACTTTTATTTGGTAGATGAATATTCATCACCACCACCATTTTATTGCTGTTTTCCATGCTTCCATGGATTAGCTGTGATTATCCAATCGCAAGTTTTATGGTTGGATGTCCTTCCTATCACCAACCTGCTTTTACTGATGGAAGCTAGCAAAGCAGGGTTGCTACTCCCTTAGGTAATCATATATTTTGGAATTGGACATTCATGTTAATATAAAGATTTATTTCTTTTTCACTCTTGCAAGCCTTTTTCCACTTCAGTACTGGGAGGCTGGTGTAAAGATCAAATTACGTACTTTGCTTCATATGCTGTCATTAAATCTGCCCGCAAACTATTCATCGCCGAAATATTTTTTATGTTATGTGTTACCCTTTCAGAGTCGCCTTTCAGAAGTAGAACAGCAGTGTCGAGTACAGCTAACAGCAGCTCAAAATGAAGCTGCTCAGCTCCGGCGAGGTAAAGATAAAGAAGCCGCGACAGCCACTCAACGTATTAATGGTAATCAACTAGTTTTAAGTTGTAGTTTAACTGGACAAACTTTTAGTGTTCGTCCTAAATTTAAGGTAACGAGTATTGTTGTCACACCATGCCATCCTTCTCTGTCTATCCACCAGGATGACCATCCCACCATTTCATTACAAAGTTTTGAGAAAATTTTATCAACTTGGAAGCTTGATCTAAGACTTGTTGTCCTAAATACTCTCCCATTTTTAACAACTGAAAGTTTATATAATTTCAGAACTGATGAGCATTGTAGAGGAAGAGAAAGCAGCAGTTATCAGAGTCAAGGAACGAGCAGCAGCCAAAGAGTTAGATTTGGAAAAACGCATTGCTGAAGAGAGACAATCACATCTATCAAGTTCACACCAACTTGCACAGCAAAACTTCCAGATGCAAGATCATATTAAGGTGGATGTAACATCCAGTATACCATTTCTTATAATTTGGGAGGCAAAAAAGGATATGATAAACAGATAGTTACCTGCCTGAGGTCATCAAGCTTTGTTGTGTTACCTGTACTTAGAAATGGAAATGACAAAATTAATAAATTGGATAGGAACAATTTATTACTTAGCCACAAAGTTACAGATGTAAAGTGTTCAGTTGTAATAGTGTAGACAAGGCTTAGCCTTTTGAGGACTGAGCTCCCTGAACTCTTCCACCTTGGGAAACAATAATGTCATGCACGGGGGAGAGTGAGGATTTCAAAACAATATATATTTCTTACAAATAGTGAAGGGAGATAACTCCTGGGTTGATTGATTGATTGGTTTATGGAATTTAGGCTCAAAGCCAAGCACTGGAACCAAGAGACCATTTGCACTGTATGACAATTAGGGGATATCTCTTATATTAAACACACCACATCCTATTAAAGCAAATTTAAAAAATGCTAATTCTTCACCTCATCCGACAAACGAAGAGGACAAACGGATAAAAAAAACTTGGCTCAGTTTCCACCATGGGACCGCTGGGCACAAAAGCCTACACGGCTACATAGAGTATGCCTTAGATTAAAACTATTTTTCCATATTAAAACTTGTAATATAACCAAATTTGTTTTAAAAGTTTAACAACATTAACAATATCTCCCATATCATTTAAAATTTTGTTGATGGATTTATCATTCAAAGAATTGTATCTCCTTTGAAGATTAAAAGACCTACTGTCAACTAGAATATAGTTAGCTGTCAGTTCAGTGTGACAGGAATTGCAGTGAGGGGCTTGTCGCTCAACTCCACTCTGAAATATAGTGATGCGTGAGCATATGACACATATGTTTGACAATAAATTATTCATTACCACATCTAATGTTACTTACAGTCCAGTATTTTGTTTAATCTACCTAACTTCCCATTTCCCAGAAGTAGTTAAGTTCAATAAAGAATGATTCGCAGTGAATGATGATTTCAGGAACCTAATATTGTTATTTACAGGAGTATTTAGGGTTCAGTGTAGTCTTGCTTTGAATGGATGAGGAGAAGTCATTCCACAGCTTCACATAACGGTATTTAAAAGTTGTTTAGGAATGAGAAGAACTCATAGGAGATAGCCCCAGTAAGTCAAGGTGTCCAAAATGATATCTATCATTCATCCAGACACTATCAAGTTGTATTTCAAGGATAGAAAACCAGTTTGATGTCATCACTGGTTGCAGCATCCCATTTTTATTAAGTGTTGTCTATCCTATTATGTTTTTGTGTGCCAACTTTCATGCCTAGTCATGGACAGTGGGGGACTACAGTACTTGCTTACTGATCTACTAATGGATCAGTGACAAAATAATTGGTTCATTACAGTTTGGTCACACAAACTTTTTGCCATTGTATCAATTTACTGTTACAGACTGTAATTTCTTTTAACATTAAAATAACTTTGTCCTCTTTCTAATATCAAATCCCACCATATAATAATATTGTATTTTTATATTATAAACCACAATTCATAGGCTCTTGAGGCTGAAGCAAACAATGCAGAACAAAACAAAGACACCAGAGTGACTGAAATCCAGGCTGAGGTCTGGCAAGCAACAGAGAAATTTCACAGTGTGGAGAGAGAGAAGGTGGTGCTTGAGGCCAGACTGGCTTCCCTGGAGAGTATGGAAGGACTGCTGCGTCGGGAGAAAGAAGAATGTTCAACCCTACGTCTGGAGCTTCACCAGCAGCAGTCTGAGGTACAAGAGCTTAAGACTCTCAGTGGTGAACTTCAGCAACACATTCAACAGCTCAAGGACAAGTAAGGATTTTATTTTACATTTAGGAAACTATAAGTGCTGATCTTCGTACAGTTTAAACAGAGCAAATATATTTTCTCTACCATTTTGAGATGAAGAATTACTGAATCCATCCCTAATAGTGGGGGGCAGGGAGGTGAGATTGATTAGCAAACAATTAATGCATGTTTGCATTGAAGGAGAATTAATCCAATTTCTCATTTTAAGTTAGCGAGATCAGTGACAGTAATTACAGTAATGCATCCACAATATGGTACAGTTATGGTTTCTTTAAATTTCTTAATTAGTCATAAAAAGGTAATAAAGTAATGATATAGAACATTTTGGTAGTTCCAAAATGTAGTACAATACTGAAATTTCCAATAACTAATAATAATCTGCATTGGAAAAAATATTTTGGAAAGTATAGACTAAGAAACTAATTCACCTAAAATCATAACGCTGACTTAATCCTGCTGAAGTCTGCTGTATGTTCTGTAGTTTGTGATGTGCTACTGTACAGGTATCCCTTGTTTAAAGATGGGGATGCATCCTAAAAAAACATAATGCTAAATAGGGATAACAGTAAAGCACGTAGTTAAACGGATTGATTTATTAACGCCAAACTTCTATGTAAGCGATGTAGTTTAGAGTTAAACAATTTAGTGAGCAAAAGGTGAGCCTAATTATAATAAATTTTAAATTGCATACATCAAAAATGAACCAAATTTGTTTTGATAAACAATAAACTTGATGTGTAGCATCTCATAAAATACATTAGTACATACAGGTATTTTATAAACCAAAAATAGCTCCTAAAACCATCCCCTGGCCAACACAGTTCAGCCAGGCAGTCACCCAGCTGACTCGGAGACGTATGTGTGTGTGTACAGTATCTTCATTTTACTTATTTTATAGTTTTATATTATACAGTATTTTATTTATTTCCACAACTTTTTTTTATAATTCCATTACATGTAACAATGGCAAAATGCCATCTCTCAGGCCACCTCATCCCCAGTTTTTTCTTTTACCCAGTGGGTCGAGCTATCACTAAACCAAATTAACTTTTTTAATTAATAGTTATACAAGGTATACCTGTATTCTTTAGTTTTATTTATGTTCAAATCTTATTAAAAAAGAATTGTGTTTACATTGTAATTTTTCAGAACAATACCGTATTTAAACTAGAATATTTTGAGATACTGTATTTGCAACATTTCACCCAATCTGGAATCCTCCCCAATTCATTGAAAGGTTGAGTCTTTATTATTCTGAATTGTGGATATTACTGATCTTGAAAAGATTGGTCATGTACATATACACAACTACTGTGGAATAAGTACCCCTTGACAAGTTGACACAGTTGGGTAGTACAGTATCAGCCAAAAAATAACCTCACTCGTTAAACCATCAATTAGGGTTGTTACCAAACATCAATACTGTAACTCTTTGAAACCCAAAATTAAAAGGTACAGCAATATCTGTACAACTGTGTATGTTTGTGAGTCTATGTGGCTCAACATATAACATCCCAAAGTGAGAGATGTAGAGAATTTGGCCTGTTGCTCTTTACAGTATTGTACGTACAGTATATGGAAACTGCACCGTTAGTCTATATTTATAATGGGAAGACGACTGAACTAAATTATCGTAGTCCTGGGAATTCAAATATGACTGTTGACACTGGACATGTGGAATGCCATGACTCCGTAGTCTCTGAACTTTAATGATGACTTACTTCTGTTACCCATATCCAAGGTTACAATGGGAAGACACTGTAATGTTTTCCTAAAGAGGTGATTAGTCCCAGCCTTGTTTTAAACTCAAGGGACTTCATGGTGGCTATCAATGAGCCGATTTTTTTTTTAATTACCAACCTAGATATTTTGTGAAGTACTTCATAACTATCTTGTTTATAAGATACAAAACTTACTTATTGAAGAGTTATTGGAAAAACATAATTTCTAGGGATAAATTGTATTTACTATAATATACTAATGCTCACTTGTTACCCAAAAGACTGCGTGAAGCGCAAATTCAGCAAGATTTGGTGAAGGAAGAGTCTAGGAAATGCCGAGAACTTGGAGACTGTCGTTTGGCAGACCTACGAGCCTCTCATCAGGCGGAACTAGAACAACTGCGTGCCAGAATCTCAACATTGGAAGCTCTTCTTACTGACAAGAGCAACAAGTACCTAGAGGAGTGTAATCACCTTAAGCAGGTACAACTGTGTCACTGTTGAGAACTGTTACAGTACTGCAGTATCCAATGTTTTAGGCAGTGCTTGTCATTTTCATGGTGTAAATAACTGCAGTTATCAACATGTGTTTAATTTCATTTTAAATTATTTGAGTAAACACCCACAGCCATTTTTGGATCCACATAGGTCAAATTTAAAAAAAAAAATATGTATCAAGATCTATAATTTCTCTCCTGTCCCATCATTTGATCGAGGATAGAAAATATTGATTTTACACTGAATCATTTCCCGTGAGTGTGACAGCAGCCAATCACATATGTATCGGATAATATTTGTTTTCAGCCAATCGTGGATAGAGCAAATTGTTGTAATAATTTGAGTTAGTCTATGCCCATCTGGTTTCACGTGCCATGAAGAGAGAACAAACCCAGCGAGCTCGGATCATCAAATAATTTAAAAGTATGAAATGAAACAAGTTGGTAACTGCATTCGTCTCCTCTAATGTTACATCCTTATTACACTACCACTCACAACACAAACTTTGTCATTGTGCATCACAGCCCATCATGATAAACAGAAATCATCTTCAAATACTGTTGACTTCATTTCCTAGGATCTGCTGCTATCTGATACATTATGTTGCTTCACTTTAGGTTGTCAATCTGCTGTCAATAAGTACCTCTCCTCGCTAACCCGAACCAGCATGGTGGGTGGGGTGAATCTAGGGTGACAAGGAGCTGTGAATGTCTGTTCCCACTACAGCAAGTGTAGCATTCCCAGCAAACAATAAGATTTACATTTGTTGGGTTTGATGGATTGATTTATGGAATTTAGGTTAAAAGGCCAAGCACATTTGTTGGGGGAGAATGCAAATATGCCCTTGGCTGGGATAGAGGTAATATTTTTTAGTGTTGGCTGTGAACGGTAAACCAAATTTCCATGTAAGTTTAAGCACTTTCAACGTCATGAAAAAATGTTTGGGTCTTGAATTGTAACCCTGTTTTTGCTATGGTCTGCTATATCACTGCAGCTGTTGGGATATATTACCAGGACTGTGGCCTTTATTTTCAACATAATAAGCAGCTAAAGAGTTCAATGTAAGCTTTGATACCATTTATACAATTGTTTTGTGCAGAAGATAGAGTAGAACTTTATAGCCATGAACAGTGTACAGGTCCCAGGCTCTGTATGTGTGGGTGGCAGAAACACATGGATACCCTGCAGAGATATTTCACACCATTTGACCTAAATTGAACAGGACAAATTAACAGGAGATTGTTTGAAGCTTTGAGCTTTATTTAAGTTTTAGAATGATCTAAAATTGAAGTGTGTGGTAGTTTCTATTATTTTTGGGGGTGGGGTGGAGAAGAAAACACACATTTCAACAGAACCATGATGGCATATACTGTACATTAGTTTTGGTGTTAAGTGCATTATTTGATCTCTGGTTAAAGATTGTATACATAAACATTTTTTATTTCCCTTTAATTCTAGAAAGTTCAAACTTATGGACGATTAATTAAGAAACTGAGGTATAAGCTGGAAATTGGAGAAGTTCAAGTTGAGCAGCTGGAGGCTCAGCGTAATGCTTTGCAAGATAATGTTCCTGCACATGTTTACAGGCGACTTCAAAGCCAACTGCAAGATGTAACAAGAAAACACAACGAGTTTGCAGCATTTATCCGTGGTTTAAGCGAATTTCAGAGCACTCTACCAGAGGTAAGAAGTTTATCTTGATCATAATACTGTAGGTCTAAAATGAATTTCAGTTAAGTTAAAGCTCAATACAGTACTATAAAGTATA